GCTTTTATTAGACGAGCTGGTAAATCATCATTGTAAGCTCTTTCAAATGCTTCGTTATGATAGAAGAAACGTATCAATCAATATTGGAGAGCATATTATATATATGTGCGCGCGCGCGCATGTATGCTCTTATTGGGTTTTTTTTTTTTTTTTTTAACTGAAATGTCGACCAAGAACCCGTAAATCCTTTTAACATCCACGGAAAAGCTGGAGGGAATGGCGCGTCTTATGCTGGCAATATAAAAGTAAGCTTTTTTTCCATGTAAAAATAGTGTTTTTACTAACAAGGTTCGGGTTTAGAAGTTAATTCTTCATAACGTATGGCAAATCAAGATTTGAATTTCTGTTTAAAAAAATGTCTACATTTGATATTTGACTGTATTTTAAATATGATTGTTTTCAACAGAAATATACTCGTGCCTAATAAAAAAAATAGTGTGTTTGATGAGGCGGGGTGGTGGTGGTGTTTTGTTCAGGTTTTTCACTGTTATTACCTTGCAATGATAAAACAGACGATAGAGGATATCTTCCATAGAAGCTAGTGGATATCTTCCATAGAAGCGTCCTATTGCATGCAAGATTATCTTATCTCTATATTACAAAAATATGATAAGCTTTGTTCTCCTCAAAAGGGAAGGAGATGAAGTCGTTGAGAGAAGCATTATGAAAAAATAATAATAATAATAATAATAATAATAATAATAATAATAAATTACGCCAGGGCTTCTTGAAAACTGATTGGGACGTGTAGGAAAGAGTTATAAAATGATAATGCGAAAGTGAAAAAGGTCGCACTGTCTTAAGCTCATGAATAGTATATGTTCTTATAAATGGTACGTTTTATTTTATATGGATGTTGATGATTTTTCAAACAAGAATTTATAACAAGTCTTGTCCAAAAAGTTTAGGTAGGAAGAATTGACCTAAGATGATTGAAATGTCGAGGTTGGTTGCAACGGCCGTGGTGAAGAAGAAAATGGAATCCATCACTGTAATTCAAGGATATTGAGTTAATATTCATTCTGTTCACACAAAAGTATAGTTATTCCTCCGGTCCTTAATATAGGATTTACTTAGTGAGTTGATTTTGATTTAAATATAAAACTTATTTCTTATATTTATTAATTTTCTTAAATTATCCTATGAATACTCCATCAATTATAATCAAGTAGAAGATAGAAGAAAGATATTAAGAAAGATGATTATAGTATTTTAGGAAAAACATGTCATTTTTTTTAATAAATAATTAGCTTATCTAACTTCCTTAATTTAATCAAATTAACTAAATAGATCTTATATTAAAGGCTGGAGGAGTATTATATAACTAAAATGTGACTAGAGACCTTGTCCAAAGAGTTTAAAACATATGTTTTCCCTTTTGTGATTCTGCCCTTTTAACTAATTTTCACATACCAAAAAATTACAATTAAGCCATTAAATATGTCTTAAATTTTTGAAGTTTAATCTTACTAAAAAGTTTACTCTTTACATTTATAAATTAGTCTATGTCAGTAATGATTGGAATGATATATGTTCAATAGAATTAATTAACTTTTCAGTGGTGATGCATGTGTATAGTATTGTTTTATTAATTTATGTTTCATGAGAAGTCAAATATGGTCTAGTTGCCTACATGCTTGATAGAAGATGGGCAAGTTAACATATGAAACTCATATTCCTCAACAACAGTGGCATTTGAGGACCGTATAATCACGAATTGAAAACAAAATCAGAATCAAATGTACCATAAAATGAATAACAAAAACCACATATGCTTTGGGTCTGGCCAGATTGTTAGAAGTTGAAGATGACACATGAAAGAGTGGTCCAGAAGGGAAAGTGAGGTTGGTACTTAGTAGTAGTAACAATAATGGCTCTCAAATTGCAGACACTTGCAAATATCAGGCATGTGGTTCAATCCTTTTGGCTGAAGCAATCTCTCCACCACCAAATTATTGCCATTTCACCTTTCAATTAACTCACTCCAAAAGCTGGCTTGCTTCCCTCATTCTCATTCTTCCCTTATGAAAGCTGATTATTGTAAATCATGCGCATAAAGTTTATTATTTTGTTCTCCTGTACAATTAAACTTTATAAGTAAAGAGATTAAATTAGTTGAAATGTTTTATAATTTTAAATCAATCTTATGTGACAGGTGGTAATGGATAATAAATAAATTTGCACATGCCTTGTCTGGACAACACCAGAAGCTTCAGCCTCAAAAGCATAAAGCTTTGTTCGACAACTCCGAGGTAGGCTGCCTGCGCTCCCCCACCTAATATTTTTTATATTAATTAATGTTTCTTAAATTTAATAATTTTTTCACTTTATCTTTAGTTGGTATACGTTATGTTCTATGAGAATAAAATTAGCATGATAAATAATAGGTAAAATTATGCGTTCATGTAAGAAATTTAATTATGTGATTTATAATTGCAAGATATATTAAAGAAATCAAATAAATTTATTAAATATGATATGTTTTTATAAAAATATTTTTATATGGTATTGTAAGAAATCTACAAGCTAAATAAATTATTTTTTTAAAAAATAAAGTAACCAGCTGGGTCTACCGAGAACAAAAACGCTTAAAGGAATGATTTTGTACATAAATATTGAAGAGATAAAATGAGAGGGGAAGAGAGAGAGAGGGGGGGGTAAGGTATGGGAAGCACATGTGGGTTATAGTAGTCCAAAAGTGGCCACACAGCCAGCCAGGACTTTACACGTTTCCACCAGCAACAATCCTCCTCCCACCTCCTCCTTCTCTTCCACTACATACCAACGTGATTAGGTTTAGCAAATATGACTCATTCTTTATAACGTGATATACTATCTCCGATTGACTATTTGAGTATATTAAGAAAAGAAGTTAAATTAGTTTTTTGTAATAAATAGGTGGTGTTTTTTTCTAAAACATCCTTACTAATCAAGTATATTGACTAGAACTACCAGTGTTATAAGAACTACCTTAAAAAAATGCATAAATATGAGAGACAAAGTGGATTGAGATCTTATATTTAGGACCAAAATAAAAATTAAACAAGGTTTTATATTAAAGATCGGAGGTAATATTAAATATTTGAATTTTTATTAAAAAAATATTTATATTTAATATTTAACAATGTTTTGAATATAATTGTCTCTGCTTGTAATTAGAAAAAAAATTACTATATAGTCCTTATTATAAGAGTTAGTTGACTAATTTGAGGAGATTAATGAAATAAGTTAAGCTAGTTTTTTTGTAATAAATAGATGTTGTCTTTCCTAAAATATCCTTACTAATCAAGTTTATTAGCGAAAACTATCATTATTAAGAGAACTACCTTTGAAAAAAATGCATAAATATGAGAGACAAAGAAGATTAGGGTCTTATAATTATGACTAGAATAAAAATCAAACAAGATTTTATATTAAGGAACAGAGGTAATACTAGAATTATTCTTATTAATTAAACACAGGTTGGCTTGAGCATAATTTAATTTCTATCCTTCATTAAACAAAGTGATCTTTACCGGAAAAAGAAAAGGCTGTGTGCATTATATATGGATTGGAAAAAAAATACTAGCATATATATCTGACGGTCCCATTTTCTTCTTGCATTTTACTCCAAGGAACACTCATGGCCCAATTCTCCTCTTTTAAATGACTAAACTTATCTTTTCAATAAATTAAGCCAACTTTCGACTTTTGATCTTGTTTTCTTTCATTATAATACTATTTTAATAAGAACATTGAGAAAAATATCCCTATTAAAAAATTCTATTGGTATGAAGTACCTAAATCAGAATATCAGCACTCTATGCATATAAAATTCGCAAAATTTTGAGTTTTTTTTTTTCAATTTTTTTCCTATTTTTTCCCTGCTCCTATTTAGAATATAAAAATAATAGTAAATTAACATCAATAAAAAATTCCTAAATCTTTCAATACTCTGATACATATCTTTAAGTTATAATTTGTGTGTCTATAAATAAATACATACACTTTGTGGCCAGCATTAAAAACGGTAACACACACATTGAAAGTTATAATATATATATATATATATATATTATTTGCATAACCAACATCTCAAAATTTTCCAAATAATAAAATATCTAATTAGATTTTTTTAATTTTATCTATTCTCATTTTATTTTTTAATTTCATCATTATTTTTGTAATAAAAATTTTTATGTTACTATTTCTGATATTAATTATAAGAACTCGTTTGTAGACTATAAACAAGATATTATAATTAGAATCGGAAGTAGTATTTTTCTATATTTTTGTTATTTAAAATATCCAGTTTATAAGTAAAAACATATTAATTTAATTGTAGTAATTTTGCTTATCGCTGAATCCCTGAATCCTCAACCCGCATTTGAATTGATTAACCATCATTCTAGTTCTTAATTTACCATAAATTTGCGAACTAATTGAGTAATTAGGTAAAATTATTGTAATTTAAACTTATCTAGTAATTACTTAGATTGAATCTGTGTACTCTTTTCTTATTACTCTTCCGGTCCTTAATATAAGACCCATTTAACTAATTTGATTACATTAAGGAAGTTAGGTAAGTTAGTTAATTATAAGAAATGTGACACATTTTTCCTAAAATACCATAATTATCTTTCTTAATACCCTTCTCCCTCTTCTACTTGATTATGGTTGAGGGAGTATCCATGGGGGTAATTTAGAGAAAATTGATAAACATGATAAATGAGTCTTATATTTAGGACCAAAATCAACTCAAGAATTATGTCCTATATTAAAGATCGGAGGAGTATTATTTTACTGTTGCGAAAATTCTTTTTTTTTTGGATGAGAACACAAAAATGAAGCCAAAAAAAGAATACTTGGCATTTTGCGATTGTGTCCATGAAAGTTACCGCAAAAGAGGACCCCAGAAAAAGTGCCACGTGTATGCCAAATTATGCCCCGAGGGTATTGTAGTCCTTTCAGTTTAGATTCTCTATATATACGAAATGAACGGACAGTTTTGGCCTGTGGATTTGAAGTGAAAATTCGTTCCAGGAATTACTTTGTCAGCAGTGTAGGGGAAGCAGTGAGCGGGGCAGAAAGCAGCAACGACCAAACACGAAACGAGGTTGTTGGGGAAAGCACAAACTCCAAAAGGGTTGGCTCGTGTCTTTCTTTGTTTATAGTCTTATGGTGTCCGTGAACCCAAATCCATCTCAAGGTTTTTATTTCTTCGATCCCATGAATACTGGCCTTCCCGGTCTCAATCACACTCTGCCGCCCCCGACGGCGACTCCGGCCGCTGCCAATACGTATTCGGATGATCCGAACAAGAAGATTCGAAAACCGTATACGATTACTAAGTCCAGAGAGAATTGGTCCGAGCAGGAGCACGACAAGTTTCTCGAAGCTCTCCAATTGTAAGTTCTATTTTGTTCTTCTTTTTCTTTGTTCCTCTGTTTGTGCTGTTGAGAGTTTCCTTCTTGTTTATTTTTGTATGTGTTTTTTCTTGGCACGACTTGGAGGAAATTGATAGTTTAGTCCCTAATTTTTTTAAAAATAAATTTGACTGAATTAGTGAGGGAATAAGTTGGTATTGTCTCGTGAATTAATATTTTTGCTTTCTTATTTTTTAATTTTTAGCCTGTGTTCTAGGAACCTTGAATTTTGAATGTTATCCCCGGGGGGATTCTCGAGTCTTCTGAATGATTAGATGCGATGCTCTTGTTTGTTCGTTTTTAAGTTAAGGTTATTAAAATCTTTACTTGTTTTCCCCCATTTCTCGGTTCCTGGGTTTTGGGATTATCCTTCATATTCCAGAGTTTCGAACTTTGATTTGTCAGTGACCTGAGGGTACAAAAATTATACTCCTGGATGAAGAGAGGCCTCTCTCTATATCTCTGCTTCTTGTTATGATTCAAAGAAGTGTAAAATTAGTTTCATTTTTTATTTAGGTGAACTCTGGCAGGTTGAACAATGACAGATTAACTTCCCGTATGAGGTTAAGATCGTCATAAGAGTACACTTAAGCATTAGTAGTTATCAGCAGTTCAAAGTAACTGAAACAAAGGGAAAGTCAAAAGAAGCATCCTCATATAGATTAAGTCGAGGAATTACTGTTTGGGACCTATAAATAATTCAGTATAGAGTCATTGACATAATTTAATCTGTTCAGTGTCTTCCTTATGAATTATCCTTCGTTTCTCATAAGTTGCGCCAAACATTTGCCTCTTGGGCCAATAATTGTATCGTATGTACTTCTTTGTTTTGCTTGATTGCTTATGTATGCTTCTTTCTCTTGATTGGCGTCAGATTTGATCGTGATTGGAAGAAGATTGAAGCATTTGTTGGGTCAAAAACTGTTATCCAGGTAATCAGACTTTTCTGGTTTCTGTAGAACTTTTAGATATGTGTGTGTGTGTGTGTAAAACATCTCTGCATTATTCAATGTTAATTTCTACAAATTGATCATTTTAGTATTTCTTACCTGGTCCTCTAGGTATTCCACCTTCATCTTTGAAAGAACTTCTGTTTTTCGGCCACAGACCTTTGAAAGAACTTAAGAATTCAATATATGCTCCATTTTGCTGTTGGCAGATAAGAAGTCATGCGCAGAAGTATTTTCTAAAAGTTCAGAAGAATGGGACTAGCGAACATGTACCTCCTCCCCGGCCGAAGAGAAAAGCTGCTCATCCTTATCCACAAAAGGCCCCTAAAAATGGTTAGCATAGTGACAGCATTCACATATTTCTATTTTTAGGTTAATACATTAGTTTTTGAATAACTGTTCATTTTTCCTTTGCCATTTATTAGCTGCATTGGTATCTCAAGGTACCGGACCAATGCAATCTTCATCTGTTTTTGCGGAGCCTGCATACATTTATAGGCCAGATTTGTCATCCGTGCTTGGAACACCTGTTACCAGTGTGCCTTTGTCATCCTGGAATTGTGATGCTATGCCGCCCGTCAGCATGCCACAAGTGGCTAAAGGTTTTTTGTTTTGTTTGTCCATCACTCAATAATTCCTTTTTATTGTTTCCGAGTACTCTATGAGGCACATCATATACTAACTGAGTAAATTGTTTGTCAGATGATATAGGATTAGCTGGACAAGCTGTTCCTCGTAATTGTTGCTATAGCAGTAGTAATGAGAGCGCTCCTGGAGTTTGGCCTAATAATAAATGTACAGATCAAGTGGACCAAGGCAAGCTGATAAGTGGTCAGTCTACTTTCAGTTAGTTTAGTGAAAAATCTTGAGTGATATAATGGGCTTGTTCAATTCATGAATGGCATATCAAGGATAGCAAGAATTGAATGAACAAAGTCAAGAACAGTTGCTCTAGGTCATTCATTTCGCGTGTGACTTGATTAGACAAGTCAATACATGCCGATCTTGGTCTACATTCAAGCTTACTAGCTTAGCCTAATTAGCTTGTCTGAATGAGTTGAACCAGAATTATTGTTGTTTTTCTGATTATGCCCTTATAAAATCTGAACCAGAGATGTTTTTAGCTTTGTATGTTTGTGCGTTCAAGATTTTGGTGCTTCTTGCAGCATATTTTTCTTAATAGCATTAGGTCCATAATGCTATGGTGTGCTAGGTATAACCGTTATTGTGGTTGTTGATGATCTGTTTTATAAGTATACTCACAACCTTTGTATCATCTGCCCCATGCAGTAATGCCAGATTTTGCGCAAATCTATAGGTTCATCGGTAGTGTGTTTGATCCAAATGCAACTGATCATCTACAGAGACTGAAAAAGATGGACCCAATAAATGTGGAAACAGTAAGTAGTTCCATGCCATTCTTCTTTTTCTTTTATCAAGAGAGTGAGGGTCCAAAATTTATAAATTATTAGGCTATGTTTGAACAGGATTTGAATTTATAATCGGCCACCTTGAACTGACATGGTGCTTTTCTGCAGGTATTGTTGTTGATGAGAAACCTCTCCATCAATTTAACGAGTCCTAAGTTTAAGGATCATGTAAGTTTCATTCCCAATGTATAAATTATAAATGTATATAGATTGGTGCTAGTAGTAAGATTAGTGCCTCATAACTTATTTGCGCGTCTCAATTCCTTACATTTTTCTGACAAACTTATATAAAAATTATGCAGCAGAAATTGCTTTCGTCGTATGATGTTGACCTGAGGAAGGCGAAGACTGGTAGTCTCTACAATGATCCCCTGACCAACAAATCCGAAAGTGCTGTTCTGTCTGCTTAGAGGATGCGTCACCAGTGTCAGTGGTTCCTCCTGACCAGAGGTTTTAGATTTTTTCAAAGTGCAATGGCATTTTCTCTTCCTAGCCGGTTTAGCAGTTTAGGGTTTACCCGCAAAAAGGGAACAGCCGGCTTTTGCTGACAAGAGATATAGGATTTAGATGCTTATACGTGTATATATAAACAAACGTTGCATATAGTTATAGTGAGTTTTTGTTGGTGGTAGGAAGAGTTTGAGTAGTGTTCTGTGGCGGGCATTGTGGATAGGTGATGAACTTGATAATATGGTTGCCCTCTGATGTTATAGCCACTGTTAGAGGCTTATACCGTATAGTCTGTTGAGTGAGCTTTTGTGTGCTATGTTGCTGAGGATTTTCACGAGTGCTTGCGTGTTGTGTATGAAATACGAGCGAGTAAGACACTGATTTATACCTAGTTTCCATGCAATGATTACTATCTCTTTTTCCTTCAATAAAATGTACTTGTGCAACTGTGGGAAATCATCCACAAATTAAAACCTTCAACAAGAAGCTTTATAAGTTATCTCACTGCAGCTGGGACCGGTAATATGAATCATATGGTATTGCTATACTCCACCAATTACCTCTTGGTTCTTGAAGAAACCGAGTGGTGATGTGGTTTTATAGGGCCCAAGCACAATTATGTATACTATTTTTCGAGTAGTTTTATTTCATTCTAAACCGTGCAACTTTCAAGTTGTCATAAAGTTTTACAGTTAAATTGTCACCCCAACCAAAAAAAAAAAATTTACAGTTAAAAGGCATGTGATGCTACAATTAGCTAAATCAATGAAGTCATGACAAAAGTATATCATTGAAGGCTAAATTCGAAAGTTGAGAAAATAAAAATTCTGATCCTCAAACGGGCATTTTAATCCCTATGTTATAGTTGGCTGGCCCAAAAAAAAATCCCTACGTTTTAGCTAGTTTTAAAATATTCTTAGTTTTGAAGTATTTATAAATTTTATCCTTGTAATTGTTATTCAGCATTAACCGATTATTTATGTGCTAATTATAGAAACAGTTTCTTGGTTGCCTAAGCCAATCTCTTCCTCAGAATAAAGGTTACACTTGCATCATATTTTAAATGCAAACCATCTCTATGAATATGAATCATAGAAATTCAAATGCACTCCTCCCAAGAAACAGTTAAAAAAATTATTCTAACTTAAACCTACCATTATTCAAAACTGAATTAGCAATATCGATTTTCAAATAATCTTGTCCAACAAAATTATAATTCAGAAAGAGTTCGATTATAAACGTCAGCAACATGGTTAAAAGGGGGGAAAGAAATTTATTCATTCCAAAGAAAGGATAGATCAAGGCAATTCAGTAAGCCCGCCCAATTTTTGGTGGTAAAAAAAAAACAAAAAGGAAACCACGAAAACATAGGGCAAGAGTTGCACATGCGCACAAAAGAAGTATATACATCTACGATGAGAATACACTATCTATACCCAAAACCCAGGTCCAGCTCTTGGCCATACATTCCCTGGCTCTGTCCACCAGAAAACGGGTGGTGCACCGGCGGCTTTGAATTCTGCCTCATTTCCATCTCAAAAAGTCTCTGTAATGCCTCCGGGTGATTTCGTCCACCACCATCAGGAGCTAAAGCAAGCAGTCAAAACGAAAAGTAAGGAGCTGAGTGATTTCGAACAAATTCTGAGATTATCACATCAGATTTTTTTAAAGGGAAAATCATTTTTAAGAAATTCTAACCGTTCAAAAATAATATACAAAACGCGGAATCATCACAAATTGATTACAAGCAAGACGCACCAACTTAATCTAGCCAGTGGCCCTGCTCCACCAACTCATTACCCATCATGGCCAGAAATAAATTAAAGCTTATTCAGTAACAACAGGGTAACAAACATTACAAATGACCAACGACGCACTGCACTCACATCCCATGCAATCTTAGGTTAAAAGGGTGATTTGACTATAAAGCTTTCGTCCTTTTTATTGCAAGACAGAAGTAAAACTAACTGTGAGCTGATATCAGGTCTGCAACAGAACTTAGATATGCATGTGAATTATTTTTATGAAGCATCAATTTCCAATCAATTTGCTCATTGGGAGAGCCTCAATATTTTAAAATCAGCCAAATAACTCAGTGGTCTGCGAATATTTTGGCTTTTAAGTTAACTACAATGATATGCAGCAGACAAGCATGATGTAAATGTTTTACCTGCCATTGACATCCCGGGTCCACCAAAATGTTGCTGGTGACCACTAAACGGGAAGCCCTGCATAGCATGCGACTCCTGCATGAAACCAGGCAATGGATTGCTGGGATGAGCAGGTGGTGAGACGCCCAATGGGAACCCTTGTAACATGCTAGGCGGAGGAAGATTCCTCGGCATTTGCATCTGCTGTAACACAGAAGGATGAGCAGCATGGTTGAACCCAGTTAGCCCGCTACTAGGTTGATGGAAAGGAGGACGAAGCATGTTTCTTGGAATCTGATGGTTTGGAGGAGCGTCATGGTGAACCATGCGCTCTGGTGTCATCATTTTCATATGAGAACTAATATGAGGAAGTTGAGAATCCAACTGGTTGAACATTGGACCCATTTGATTTAACTGAGAGGGATGGAGCTGTGGAGATTTATGGACATTAACATTCTGATAGGGAATTCCAGGTTCCCTTGTATCGTAAGGACTATGAGGATATGCCGGACCTTGATTTCCGATAACAGGATATTGATCTCTAAATGCAGGACCCAGAGCTGCCAGTTTTCCGGCAATGTCAACTGGTATGTCTTGGGACAACTCATTTTTAGCTGAATTACCAGCAGATAAAATTTTTTGGAGGGGATCACCAACTGCCATCAAATTATCTTCTTCTGGAAGGCAGATATCAGTAGGCCTGTTAAAACCACCAGTCTTGGAAAGATCACCTTGAAGTCGTGATGAATTACCATCTCCCTGAAAATCAACAAACCCAGACAACTGCTCTTCAAATCTACTACTAGGTTTGAGTTGATGAATTTTTTCTGATGGCAGCACGCCACTTCCTTGCCTGTTCAATGCAACTTCACCTTTAGGAGGGAGGCCATTGTCTGAGACTGGGAAAGGAAATTGAAGAGTTTCAGAAACATCAGACCCAGAAGATCCAACTAAAGCACTCTGAATGGATAACGGTGCTCCAACTGACTGCAACTCCTTCATAAAAGCTGTTCCAAAAAGTGTTTCCAGGGTCAAACTCTTTGAAGAATCAGGAGCATCAGTATTTGCCTCTCCTAAATTATTAGACACATTACTCGTGATGGCTCCTTCAATGTTATGTGCTTGGTCTGCAGAATCCATATTTGGAGTAGAATTTGGTTCCATGTCTTCCAGCTTTGATGCATGATGTTGACCTCAATCTTTGTCAAAATCTTGCATAGAAATGAACTGTAGAATGGTCAGAACTGCTGGAACAATCAGGTTGCTCCATTAAGCCAACAGTAGTATAGGCTACACTACCACTTGCAGGATCTGCATTTGGGAAAGGAAAATCAGGTGCTCTGTGCTGTGGTGTCTTTGTAAAAGGAACTCGCAATGCACCTTTTTCACCCCCAACAATCAGTGAAAGCAAGTCATTTGACCTATGTGTGGATTCTTCCACTGGCTTCTTTTCTGCAGATAAGTAAGAGAAGAATGAATATAACAATCCGAGTCACAAAGTGTAGCTTAAAATTGAAAAGCATCCAATTATTGAAGGCTAAATCACAATGAAAGTACCTTCTTCCATAAACCAATGTGCAAACTTGGAAGACTGGGATGCATGAGGACTCCATGTTTCATCTGCTTTGTGATCAGGCAGCTGTACGACCAGTTGTATAAACAGTCAAATTCAAAGAAGAAACAATGTTAAAGAAAGGCAAGAAATATAACATTTATCCAATCAACTCCATATCCCGGCACCACTGTCCACATTCAAAAGATATCTTCCACTTGTGGGTTCCAAGACATTTGAATCCCTAAGGAAGGGCTTGAGGGAAAAAAACCAAAGGCAGACAATCCAATGATTAGTTGATTTCTGGATTGGCATCATTTTGCACTACACGTCAAGAGACTATTCTATCACCATGCCAAAACCAAAGAGAAAAAATTTAAAAATTATGGAACCTTGGATTCAGATTCAAACTCAAAATACTTACTAAAAAACTCAGCAACCAATTACATAACAATATTGATAAAGGATTTCAACGAGTTCCACTAATAAACGTACCTCAGCATTCATTACGTTGCTACTATTTAATGTTAACACATTGCCAAAAAGCTTGTCCAGGACAGAATTTGAATCATCCTGATTTAAAGTTCTGGAGGTCTCAGTATTAAGTTGAATAACTTCCCTGTCATCTGATGCTTCTAAGGCTTCAGAAAGAACAGACTTCTTCCTCAACTGATAACCTTTTCCCATCTTTACGTCTGGAGCATCCACAGCTGATGATGAATTTAGAATCTTTTCTTTCTCGTTGTTAAGTGACACATTTAGACTTGCACTTCCCTGATGTTGCTGATCCATATCTAATTTCTTGGTTGAAGACTTAACTTCAGCATTATCAGAATTGACATTTAATACTTGATTACCTTTGGCATCCCCGACTTCAGGTTGTCCAACCTACCAAAGTACCAGAAGAATGAAGAATGTGTTAAAGAAGAACCCACAAATCAGAATAAATAGAAGTAAACCTAAGGAAATTCATATTCTAAAAATCAAAATTTGATAACGAGTTATTAGGCATTCAGGAAAAGGATGGGACTTGGTATTTTATTATCCAATAGTCAATGACAATTAGTTACAGGGTATCTTCAAGGCGAAAAGCAATGGAATCTTTAATAATGATGTAGAAACTATAAGGCAAGCCATAAAGATACTCTAACTAAATTCATCACAGGTGATAGCAGCAATTATTACCAGAACTTCAGAAGTAAAGCCACAAGTTACTTAAAGTTTAGTTCAAAATGTTATACATACACTGTTATGAATAAATAACCACATATGAACCATGCATAAGATAGTAGGTTAAAGGAACAAACGGCTAACCTCCGTTGCGTCAGTGTTTGCTGATGTTTTTGATGCCAAATTTCTCTCCAAAACTGAGCTCTTGAAACCAGGGGGTACAAGTGGTCTTGTCGCTGTAGGAGCGTGCACAAGTAAAGAAGACTTCTCAAAATCATTGCTTAAAGCTGACAGAGCCACAGGAGGTTCCACTGACTCATTGCTTCTACCAATTAGTCTTTTCTCGTTATCATCTAGGAGTGAAGTAATGTCAAATTCATCTTTATTCTTGTCCAGGCCCAACTTCTGCTTTTCTTGGAAAGCTTTCTGCTGTTCCTTTCTCATCAATTCAAAAGAAGCTGGAAACCAAGTTACCAACCACTTAATTCAATGTTATAAGAGGTTAACTTCATAATGGCCAGAATAGAGGTAAACGTTACAAGACTTCTTAAAGCCAAGAAAAAGAGAGCAGTTACCACTTCTCCAGCCAAAAAGAAAAGAAAAAGGTTACCTTTTCTTTTTCTCTCCTCTTCTACCCTGTCCTCACTGGTATACTCAGAAGAACCAAAAGTTTCATCATTATACAAGTCACTGTCCCTACGTGAGTGAGGTGCCTGGAAAACATTAGACAAGAAACATACACGGAGTCAAAGTAAATCAAGTTATTTGCAATTACAATCCGTTCAATTGTTTCAAAATTATCATTGAATTTGGTAAAGGTAACATAATTAACCAACACAGCCAACACAGATATAACAATTAACCTTATAAGGGCGAGGAGGATGATATGGCTCATTTGAGCGGTTTAGTTGGTGGGGGTCATTAGCTCGAAACTTTGAACCAGACAATCCAGGCGCATATCCTGGTGGTCTTGAAAAAGTACCACTACCCAGAAGTCCGTCATGTTCAGGACCTTGCCAAGACCTCCGAGATTGGCTGCCAAAACGTCTTCCAGAATCTGCAGATTGATAAGACTTATCAGTGGGATCGAGATAAGACTTAAAGAGCAATTTCTGGTTCCATAAACAGCATTTCAATGTCACAATTTTGCAGACTAAGGAAACGTAAAGGAGTACATGACATATAAGAAGCTTGAACGAAGGATGAACGAAAAATGAATCCAGCATTCGATACAGCACCCAATTGATTTTCTTACATAGAGGGGATAAAAAGAACACTCGCTGAACTTGTACGCAAGGTCATAGCAGAATGGAATGACAAGCAAAACCCTTAGGAACTGGCACAATCAAAATATCAAACTAGTTCAGTTAAGATCATATGCCAACATCAGTATTTATTATGTTTTCTCCATTCTTTCTTGGAAGGGTGATTTCTTAGCAAAACTTTTCAAAAACTGAAATAAGCAAACATTTTATATTACAAGTTCCACAGCTGGGCATTTAAGAAAGGTTCAGGCAAACTTTCGAAATCTAAAAGCCACAAAGTCATCAGCAATCAAAAATCAAAAATTAAATACAAAAAAATCACGTGTCTGTTTAAATGGTTAGAAAGCAATTGATTTTATTCAAAAATGGGGAAACACTGTTGAAGCAGTTTAAACCACACCTGCATCCCATTCAGATTGAGAGTCACTATCTCTATCAGACCGTCCAGAAGAACGAGATTCCCATCTTCCATGAACTCCTCGTGAATAGCTATTCATATCTCCTCTAGTGGGAGGGGATGAACCATATTCGTGACGCCTGAAATTATGATTTGACAAACCTCCAGTTTCTCTCTGTCGTTCCAGGGAAGCATCTTCGAATTCACTGGGCCCATTAAAGGACACAAGCTGATATTAAAAGCAAGACATAACACAGCAATGGGATAGTAGAAATTGAAAAGGATGGAAGATAGTTGGGGGAAAAATAAAATAAAATGAGGTCTCCAGCATCTTATTATTCTTTTCCTTCCACCAAAATCGGATGTTATCGTATAGGATAATTTACCTTAGAATTGATGGGTCAAATCCATTGGGCAACTCTCTGCAAATATCCAATTTACTCAACGATAATAAGAATTCTCTTGTATACGAGATTTTCGACTTCCTGAATCACCATAAAATAAATTCTTAGACATGCGTATCAATTTGATGAAGATGCTTGGGTTTTTTTTTGGGGGGGGGGGGAAGAGAGAGGGAGAGTTGGAAGACAAGAAAGAAGCTTACTTCTGCAATTCATGATGAGTTGACTGATCGCAGAAGCTTTTCTCTTCGTTTTCTAAGCTCATTTTTAAACGCTCGACTGAAGAACTTTGCTAACTAAAGTAGATGAAAACCCAGATATCAACCAGAAAAAGAACCGCTATCACTTATGTGGCTCGGTTATACAAGCTCATCCTCTAAATTCAGCTCCACGAAAAAAAATGTCAGCAGCCAAAACGCCTCCTAAGTCCACAAGGGACTAAGGAATAAATTTAATGAATGCTCTGCTACTCCCAACACGTAACCCAGTAAAGGATACAGATAAAACCAAATCATTTAGTGCAAGCAGAAGGCCAATCCCTGCTTATCCACCGCCCTCACTAAAACCTCGTCCATCGAAGTTATCAAATCTACTCTAGAACCTATCTCAAAGCAATATCCAACTCATTCAACAAGGCCCGTCGCCGCCGAAAATTCAAAACCGTCAAAACTCCATTGTCGACATAAACTGTCCAGTGCCCAGCAGCTAGCAAAGTCCTCCTTCAGTATAATTCGCGACAGTGACGTATAGGTATGTACATATCACAGCCCGTTAAACAAATCAGAATCCATGCTTGCAACTTGCAAGATACAGGAGAAATGATTATATAATACGTGTAGGAAAGACGAAATTAAGCTTCAACTAGAACGAAATACACCAGAATTAGAGGGAGCTTCGTTCTAATCTAACAGGAGATCCTCCATGGATGGAAACTAGGGTTTTTGCTCACAGATGAAGAACTACCTGGATCGAAGACAAGAGAGAAAGAGAGAATAAATCAGTAAAATTCGTGGAAAGGGCGTAGATGGTACATGTAGCAGCCCGTTAAACAGCTTGCAACTTGCAAGATACAGGAGAAATGATTATATACTCGGTGAGGAAAAGACACGAAATTCAGCTCCCACCGAATCCAAATAAGAACAGAATTAAGAGGAGCTTTGTTCTAATCTAACAGGAGATCCTCCTTGAAATGACAATTAGGGTTTTTGTTCACAGACGACAAACTACCTGGATCGAAGACGAGGGAAAGAGAGAATCAATCACGAGAACATGGTGTATAAAGGTGAAAAATTTTGCGATTATTCGGGCTCTTTCTGCTTCTTTCTTCGATCGATCGGGGAGAGAGGTTCTCAGGGGTCAAAAAACAGATTTGAAGGGAAAGGTTCAGAGAGGAGCCTGACTAGGGGTCTCTCTTCTTCCTATGGCGGAAATGACGTTATTCACCTTCTCTTCCATTTCACGATCAAAGGGTAAATATCCATTTTCAACTGCTAAATGACACTAACATAATACCATTATACATTATATAATTGTATAATTATCACAAATGATATTCGTTTTTTAATAATCAGGCGCAAATGATTCCTTCTGGATCATCTTCAAGGCCCTGGGGGGGGGGGGGAACAGTCTCCGGTCTTAAACTTTCCCAGATTATTCTGATCAATAAAGTTTTTAAGTGGAAATTTTTTCCTAATTTTTAAAAACATTTTTCTGACAAAAAATGTGCAGAGTAATATTTTTTATTTTAATACAATTTAAACCCACCCACACAAACATGTTAATGCCAAGTTAGAATATCAAACCTCATCCAACTGTAGAATAATATACTCCTGCACCCTTTTGACAAGGTAACTGGACACTTAATTTTGTTTGAATCTACTTATTTAAGCGTTTATAAGTAAGATTTTATATTAGTCGAGACAAGAATTTTCTTCATATACTTATTTAGTATCTTGTAAAGGCTTATTTGGATTCATGATCAGTAAATACATTCGTACAAATCAAGACAAAACTATTGATAAATTATTTATAAGTCATTTTAATTAAGCCCTAAATCAAGATTGGAAATCAAATAAGCAATGGTATGTTGGTTAAAAAGGTAAACAGAAAGCATAGTTAGGGGGGGGGGAAGGTAAACAAAAACAACTATGTTAGTTATCTGTTGTGTTATTCATTTTAGATTTTAGATATCTGTCCCATGCTAGCCTAATAGGGAAATTTGCTCCCTTGCTCTCTGAGGATCAAAGGCACGAATCTAGCCTAGGGAGAATATAGACAGAACATTTTAATTATTAATATGTTTTTATTTTCAAAAACATTTTTCTGTTACACATAAATATTGTCAGATACTAAATATATGTATTTTTTTTAATAGGAATTTGAACATTAATTTGTCAATCTCGTTCCGCTTCCACGAGACCATAATTTAATTCCCATCTACAGTTACCGCCCTTCCTCGCTGTCAACTTCCAAGCTGTGGGCTATAAATTTGGACTGCTTTTAACAGCCCCAAAAACAAGGTTGGGCCGCTTTGCCTATTAAAAAACAGTGGTTAGTAAACATCTCTAAATTATTAAATATTTTATCGACTTGTATAAAAAAAAAATTAAAAACCGACCAACCTAACTCTGTAAGAAAGGTCCGCTGCGAAATTGTGATTGGCCCAAAAGAATTAAGAAAACACAAAGAAAAGCCTTTTTGATCGTTTTAATGAGTTTTGTTTTTCAGATTTGGGCTTGTTTGACTGATGAGTACGGGTTTTCTCAACTTAGGAATAGGATACTCTTTATTGAATAATCTGGAAGAAAAAACCCAGGACTCTCTTTTTAATGTTGATTTCTCTTTTAAAGTAACTATCCTTTTAAATAATATGCAAAACTTAAAAAATTAAATAACTACATAAAAAAACTGGAAAGGCATGACTAGATTAAATGAAAATAATTCAATACTTATTCAGTTCTGAATGTAAGACTGATTTTATACTGTAATTTACGCTATAGAATAGGTCTTATATTTAAAACCGAGAAAATATTATTTTATATATACCAAACACACTTTTTAACCTCCTTTTTACTCTCATTTTCATTCCCCTCTAAAACTCTTACAGGACGCCATACATAAATTATAGAGTATAAACTATCCATTTAAATGAGCGTCAAACGCATCTGTGTGTTATTATGCTCGTTAGATCACAGCTCTCGTGAATCGTAATTAAACTCACATAGAAAGCGATGTTTATTATTTTATGATTTACAATTAACTTCATTTGCTTATAAATACTAGTGACACCCACACGTATACATATTTATGAGTGTTCAAGAACATTTGAGGGTTTTCATAACAAGAAAGTAAACAAAATTTGGTTGCAGTTATAATAAGTAAATACTTTTCACCAAAAAAAATATTAATACTCATTAGTGGGTCATGTTCTCAGCATTATGCAAATGGAGAGCCATACCACTACTTTAATCCTTACTTGACATTTATTCTGAAGTCTTAACATAAAAGGAACCCCAAAAAAGTGTCATCCCTAGTGCCAGAGTCACAACGCGTAGTGGCTTGGCTTCCATCATCTAAAATGATCCGTTTTGCCGCTAATTCTTGCCACTTTCATTTCATTGGGAGAGAATTACAATAAGATTTGAAAAACAATAATGACTAAAAAACCTCAATAACAATCTAAATAATCTGGAATAATAAGTTTCAGAGTAAAAAATAAAAATTTGTGAGACTTATTTTGTGATTATTTTCTTTCTTAATACCTCATTGTAATTCTCCATTTTATTTTAAAAGCTAGCATGAAAAAAACATGTTTGTAAATACAAAATACACTATATTTTAATTTCCACTTCGAATGCTTTCCACTAATTCATACTCCATATGCTCCGGCCTAACTTTTTTTTTTTTTTACTTCCTTAAATGATCATTTTATAATAAAATTGTAAATTTTTTTATAATAATTTACAAAATCAAGGCTACACCTAGTGCCGCTCAATTCAGAACATATGTGCACATATTAATTATATAAAAAAATTAGTTGATTTTGTGATATTTTTTCTTGACCCATCATATACACTAATAAGTTGACCTCATTATTATCATGAAAATTTGTAAGAATGTCATGTGACATCAATGTATAACTGTTGAATTTTTATAATTTTAAAAATGTTACAGTGCTACTCTTGATCATAATATTATTTTATAAGAAACTCAGGTCAAGTTTCAAATTTTTTATATTCATTATGTTAAGTTATTCAATTATACATCGCTATATGTTGTTTCTTTCTTTATATAAATTTATAATTAAATGATATTAAATATTAATATTTTAAAAAATATAACATATGATTAAGTGTGATTTGAAAACCTAACATAAAGAAAATAAAAAATTTGAAGCGAGTATTGTGATTTTAAAAATGTTACTACTCTTGATCATAAAGAGAAAACATACTTTACACGAAGATAATTATACTTTTATGTCACTATGTAATGAGGCATGGGCTTGTGATCAATATATATTTATACTTTAGATTTGGTTTCCATAAAAAATATTTCGAAACCTATCCTGAAAAATCTAAAAGACTATTTAAGCCGTTTCCTTCCACAAGACTCCAATCCTCCATCGGGCTCATACAAAAGAAAATAAACAGAGACAGAAGCTTACAGTCGCTGAATTAAATAATAACGTCTTTGCTTGCCGGTCTGGTCTTGTGTCTCTGAACTTCAATTCAACACGCACTCTCTCTCCTCTCTCTCGCTATCCCACCATTACTTTTCTCTTTCTCCTTCAAAATTTTCACTTCATTGTTCATTCCCTCTCACCCCCTTTACTCCTCCATTGCCCCTTCAGCTTCAACCACTTTTGCTGTGAAAGTTTGCTCTTTTCGGAGTTTTCAGATAAATCTAATGCCTTCCAGTTTGTAGTAAGTGTGCGTGATTGTACTGTGCTGTCTGTTTATTCCCTTCCACAATAAAAGCTGAAACAACAACAATGTTAGCATACGATGCCGCTTTTCTCGATAAAGAGCTATCTAAACGCACCTCAATATTTGGCCTCCCTCTCTGGGTCGTCGTAGGAATCGTCGTCGGCGCCGTCATCGTCCTCGCTCTCTTCCTCCTCTCCCTCTGCCTAACCTCTCGCCGCCACCGGCGCCGCCACAATCCAAAGAAGATTTTTGATCCCACAGATAGTGGCACTCCTGTTGTATCGAAGGAAATCCAGGAGATCGTCCACCTACGTGGCCCCAACCAGCACCACCCTGCGCCACCGCCGGAGATCCATGCTGACATCGGAAAATCAGAGCACCGAGTCGTGGTGTTTTCCGATCGGATTTCTAGTGGAGAGAGCAGGGGCACGGCCTTGAGTGCTTCCGAGACGACGTCGTCTTTTGGTGGTGGGACTGGGAGTGCCGGGCCAGAAGTCTCGCATCTTGGGTGGGGTAGATGGTACACTCTGAGAGAGCTTGAAGTTGCGACTAATGGGTTTTGTGAAGAAAACGTGGTTGGGGAAGGTGGCTATGGAATAGTGTACAAAGGAGCACTCAGTGATGGTACTCGAGTTGCAGTAAAAAACCTTCTCAATAATAAGTATGTATGGCAATTTTATTTTATTTATTTTGATATTGCCTTTCATTTCAGATTTTACTCGCAGAATCATCTTCATTGGAATTGAGACGGACCACGCTAATAATCAAATACTATATCTTCTTAATAACTAAGCTACTTTGAATTACTGTCATCTAGTCATATACAGTTTGGTTTTATTGCTGCGAGTATGACTGTTTCTGCTAGATGTATGGAGCATGCTGGAGAAATCTAATGTTTCAACTTTTTCTACGGGCCCTATCTTGTTTTGTTCATACTGGGTTTCGAATTCATCTGCAGTTTTGTAAAACGATTGTATGCTTAATGTCGGAATATTAGTTTCTTACCGATACAGTCATATTGGTCACCAAATGAAAGGCTACTCTATGTTTTTGGCTTCTTGATTGGATTCCTTGATGATGAATCGTCCTTTAAAGCCTTGATCAAGGCGACGGAAAAAGCAGATAAAAATTTGTGTTTCTATTTATTTTTTTAAAGAAAAAGCACGGCTGATGTTCTCGCTGTGAGTAGTGCTCACTCGTTTTCTCTTCTGCAGTGATCAACAAGACTTCTCATAAGCTGTCATTTGCTTTTGATTGTAGGCCAGTGTTTACTTCTCTTTTACTTCAACTTTTCCCCCCAACTTTTGAAATCTTTCCCTTTTTTCATTGTTGTGTTGTAATGTTAGTAGTTGGGATCTAAAGTGACTCACTTGAGTGAAGAAAAGAATCAACTTTCTTTCTGGGCCTTTATTCTACCACTACTAAATTGATAATGCTCTTCAACTTCATTTTTAACTCATTTTAGGGGCCAAGCTGAGAAAGAATTTAAAGTGGAGGTAGAAGCTATTGGTCGTGTGCGGCACAAGAATCTTGTTAGGCTGCTCGGATACTGTGTTGAGGGAGCATACAGGCATTGATGTTATTTTCTATAACAGCGATTGTTACTTGGGATATTGTTCATGTGCCAGTGAGATAAACATTACCGTCTGATCTTCTTTTACAGGATGCTTGTGTATGAGTATGTTGACAATGGCAATCTAGAACAATGGCTTCATGGGGATGTTGGAGCTGTAAGCCCTCTGACGTGGGATATCCGTATGCACATTATACTGGGCACTGCAAAAGGGTATCATATTCTTGGACTAATCTGCATAAAAATACCATCCATGTTGATGCACGAGTGGTTTGAACTTCTTATCACAGTGCTTATTGTGAACCATTTTCAGATTGGCCTATCTTCATGAGGGTCTGGAACCAAAGGTTGTTCACCGGGATGTAAAGTCTAGCAACATACTCCTAGATCGCCAATGGAACTCGAAAGTTTCAGACTTTGGGCTTGCTAAGCTCTTGTGTTCTGAGAATAGTTATGTCACAACTCGAGTCATGGGCACATTTGGGTTAGTATGATCGAGTTAAGCTAGAACTGTATATGTTCCTTGCTATATAGGCCTTTTTTGGGGCCAAATTTAGTATTTTGGTCTTTGCTATCTGGTAACATCTTTTACAATTCAATATTGTTTATTGACCCTACCCATGGAGTACCTCACTTTGTTACCTGGGGTTCTGTCCCTATAATCAATTCCTGTGCGAGTTCTATAGGTGAAGAGTCAATCTTACTCTAAAATATTTGAAGTCCAGAGATATGATTCTTTCCTTTTTCTTGCTTCCATCAGTTATGTTGCGCCAGAGTATGCCTGCACTGGAATGCTGACTGAAAAGAGTGATATTTATAGCTTTGGAATACTTATCATGGAGATGATTACTGGGAGAAGTCCTGTCGATTATAGCAGACCACAAGGAGAGGTCAGAAAATGCTAGATCTACAACTGTCCATATACCTGATGTCTTTGCAGCTCTGATTATTTTAACTGTGGAAACTGGGAAATTTGCAGGTTAATTTAATAGATTGGTTAAAAACCATGGTTGGAAATCGAAAAGCCGAGCAAGTAGTCGATCCTAAACTCCCCGAGATGCCATCTTCAAAGGCTCTCAAACGGGCACTGCTGGTTGCTCTTCGATGCGTGGATCCTGATGCAACTAAGAGGCCTAAAATGGGGCATATCATCCACATGCTGGAGGCAGATGACCTACTATTCCCTGATGTGAGTTCTTTGCGCCTGCCTATAGACCAAACTCAAGACCCTTCCACAATGCTTAAACCCTCTGCAGTTCCATTATAGGAAAAACATTCCCTTTTCTTGTGTGTTAAAATACGTTTTTCATTCATAAGATGATTTCTTTCATTAAATTCCAGTCTTATACTTTGTTCTTTTGCAGCCTCAGGAACGCCGGATCAGGGGAGAATCTTCACATTCCAATCGTGATCGTCAAGAGAAGAAGGAATTGAATTCAGATAAAAGAAGTAATGGAGAAGGGATCACTGATCAAAGTGAAGCACATGATAGTAGTAGAAGTCATCATCAGCCAAGCAGGTGGAGATAACGGTTTGACAATTAGCTCTTTAACATTTAAAATGGCAACACGTTTTTATCCTCTGATATTTAATTAGTTTGCCAATAATTATTTTTACCCCAATTTTTCTTACCCTGTCTTATACCTGAACATGGGATTCACAGGTATGATGTACACATTCATTATATGTTTATTCTTGTTTGAAGATCAACAGAACTAACAGTAGTGATGTTTATTTTTGATCGATGTATTGTTTTATCTGATAATAATCGAAGGGAGTAGTAATAACTTATTACAGCTGGTTTAACTGGTTGGACGCTTATATTCCTATCAACCTTATTAGAGTCCTACATTTATAATCCTATCAAGCTGGATTTGGACAAACTGGGAAAATGGTACGTGCTTGTGTATAAATATAAAAGAAGCAAAGAGGATTGGATCAAAAATGAAACGGCAACTTCATTGATGGAGGGTTGTGAGAAAAATACAAACAGGGCGGCCCGACAAGAACACGTGTGTTGTCTGCAAATTTTTGTCAGTAGTTGAGGTTTCTTCCCGGTGGAAGCAAGAGGAGGACGGAAAGATGACAATCATTTGATTAGCGGTTGAGGTTAGAAGCTTATGAACTTGAATCTAAAAACTTCAGGTCAAAAACAATTTCTATGTGGGGTGGGGGACGCCCCCTATTTTCGATGACTTTTTCTGCCGACTCCTCAATTCCTGATATTTTGAAGAAACAATTTTTTTTTCATATTGAAACAATTTCTAAAATAAGAAACAATTTCTAAATGTTTTTAAAATTAGATAATTTTTTTTTGTTGGATAAGCAAATTCATATTGAAGAAGCAGGCAGTGTTCAAGAAGTTCTGTAACGTGTGCTTGCTCCTGCCACAATGAATTCTCAGCACGAGCGTCCACCGTTAGCAACACGCGCCTCAACTATGTTTGAGAACACCAAAAACACTGAAAAAAGTTATGACAAAATTCATGTCACAAGCTTAGAATTGTTTCGGTTAATTTATAAATAGCTTTTTAAACATGATTTACAGAATATGAAATAAGTATGTGAAAAGAGTTTTATCTTGACTTATGTAAACTTATTTAAAAATCTGTTTTAAACAGAACTGCAAACAAGTCTTTATTCTTTTAAGTTTAAGAAATACAAACTCATGGTATAATACACTTCTAAGAAATTACTCTAAAAATAAAATTAATACTAAATATATGAATATTTTTATTATAAATTAGGAAAATATGCATATATCAAGTTAATTCTAATATAACCAAAATTATGAAAATATAATACTAAATTAATTAGTCTATAAAAAATAGAAAATAAAAAACATATTTAAAAGTAAACTCTTCAAATTTAAATGTCCCAAATCCTAATTGCATAAATCCAATTCAATGTGTTCCGTTAGCAAAGTAAAATCGTAAACATTGCCTGCTTCTTCAATATGAATTTGCTTATCCAACCCAAAAAAAAAAAACACGTTTATATAAAAGAAAAAGACTTGTGACAGTTTAAAATATGAAGGAAAAAAATTGAGTGCAACAATAATAATCCATGCAGCACAAAAATCCCAAGTGCCTGTGAACCTGGTCAGTGGTCACGTTCGTGCCCCAAGTGGAAAAAAAAAAAAAATCTATCCGAAAGGATCTCCAAGTAGGAATTACTGATTCATAAGCTCCCCGAAAACTCAGTGAGGAAAACCGGCGATGGCAGAGAACTTCGTCAAAATCCAAATCCCACAACAAAAGCTTTACAATGGAATTCAGTTCCCTTCCGTTGTGTCTCCGCGGAGCCCCACTTTCTCCTCTTCTCTTTCCCTTCTCACGCAATCCATCCAAATCCACAAGCAATTCCTGGAATCATTGCTTCTTGAATCCGGCGCTGTACTTCTCAGGGGATTCCATTTGAACACAGCCTCCAATTTCAATGACGTTGTCGAAGCATTTGGCTATGAGGAGCTTCCCTACGTGGGTGGCGCTGCTCCTCGGACTAACGTTGTAGGTCGGGTTTTCACTGCTAACGAATCCCCACCGGACCAAAAGATTCCTTTCCATCATGAAATGGCTCAGGCATGTCTCATCTCAGGCGTCTCAAATTCTATAAATATTTACTCTACAAGCATGTTGGAATGTTTGGACCTGTGTGAAGCATCCATATTAGAATCGTCTCATGTTCAATAAATGCAATCATATACAGATATACTAAAGTTTATGTGTATGTGAGTCTAAATACTGTGCTGTGCTGTTGTGTCAGTGTTGGTGCTTCTTAGGTTGGTATAATTTTTCAATTGGTTAAATTACTGGAAAATCCATGTTGGGCTTGAAATTTATTGGATGTTAACTGCGATAATCTACCTTTAATGTTCCAAGTTCGTTCTATTTTTGCTTTGAAAGCATGCTGACTGGTGGAAGTTAGAACAGGTTAACTTGATCCTTTGTTAAATAAGTGGAGAATGCCTGGTGGTCCTGATTTGCTAATGTTACTTCTACCATTTTGTTTCGGATGATGTTGTGTTAATAGCTTAAATTACATTTGCTGTTTTCAAAATCTTTCGATATTTGCCTTGTATCCATGTTTCGATTTCGGAGCATGTTTGATCTTTTTGATTAACTTAATAGAAAACACATCTGTCTTCTAATGTTAATGTTTCTTCTACCATTTTTGTTCTGATTGATGCGGTGTTAGCGCATTAAGCTTACATTCATTTGTGTCAATTTTTTCCCCGATATGCAAAGTAAATACTGGAATGTAAATGTTGCTTGTTTCATTTTTGTGTGATTAATGTAGCGTTAATAGCTTGAACTTCACATCCTTAAGAGTATGATTTTGAGTGATCAGTTTTTAACTTTGATATTGCATTCTTTTTTTATTGGGATTTCTCAACAGGTACCTGAATTCCCGTCCAAGTTATTTTTCTTCTGTGAAGTGGAGCCTGCGAGTGGAGGTGAAACTCCAATTGTTCTTAGCCATATTGTGTATGAGAGGATGAAAGAGAGGCACCCGGATTTTGTTGAACAATTAGAGAAGCATGGTTTGATGTACATAAGGGTTTTAGGGGAAGACGACAATCCTTCATCTCCCATTGGGCGTGGGTGGAAATCCACCTTCTTGACCAAAGACAAAACCATAGCTGAAGAAAGGTTTGTAGTTTCTAACGTTAATATCACTGTGTCATGTTTCTGTGTTGACACTTTACTGGACAAGAATGAAAGAAGTCTTTTAGAGTTACATTATATGCATTTCTGATAAATATTGGGATGGCACCTTCTATCTTTGGTTTCCTACTTGATAATAGCTATGCATGGTGCGATTATATGGGTCCAAGAATTCTTGTGCCATGGTCCGTGGGCTATGCCTCAATCATTATGGGTAGAATATGGGTGTCGTGTTTGATCCCTACGGAGAAAAAGATGCAGAGATTTTAGCTGTGGTTATGAATGAGCTCATCGGAGAAACTAACCACGTCAGTTGTGGCTATTCCTTCGTTGGTTTACCACTCTTTATAATCGCCCAAGAGAAAACCATAATCACTACTTGTACAAAAACTAGACATGAAAATAATGTCCTTGTGCTTTGTCGACGAGCATTCTTTGACTATGGAAGGACAAGATGACATTCAAGCAGTGAGCAATATATTATCCATGATTTACTTACTCCTTTGTAAAATTTGTTGGCATTGCCACCAAGTTCAAAAATTGTATGACATAACTGTATTATTTGAGTTTCTATATTAACCTGTTGAAAACATGAATATTTTGTAGGGCTGCTAAACTGGGTATGAAGTTGGAATGGTTGGAAGATGGAGGGGTGAGAACAATCACGGGTCCTATCCCAGCTATAAAAATTGACAAAACAAGACAGCGCAAGATTTGGTTTAATAGCATGGTGGCTGCATACACAGGCTGGGAAGATGAACGAAATGATCCTGTAAAGGCCGTGACCTTTGGAGATGGCCAGCCATTACCAGGTGATGTAGTCTATGATTGTCTCAGAATCTTGGAAGAGGAATCTGTAGCCATACCTTGGCAAAAGGGTGATGTTCTGTTGCTGGATAATTGGGCTGTTCTTCATTCTCGAAGATCATTCACACCACCTCGCAGGGTTCTAGCTTCCCTTGTTAAGTAGACTTGAAGCGTTTTGATATCTGGGTTGCGTGTATCAGTGATGGAGAAATATATATTTCTAGTTGGCAGATACCGTAGCTGCAATTTAGGCATTTGATTTGGGTGTCGATATTATGCTACGTTTAGTTAGAGGGAAGATATTTTAGGGGGAATAGAAATAAGAGTAAACTCAGATGTAATATTATTTTATGAAAATTCTGATTCTACTTTTGTATAAATCGTGACTCCTTCACTTGGTCTACTAATAGAAAGAATGATTTGATCGATTGCCTTTGTAACATTTGACAAGTTCTGCGAATTGTCTAATGGGATCTTCATTCTCAGGGTTAGTTTTTCACCGGCCACTCTAAAAATGTGGTTTTCATTTTCAGTAGATGGGTATCTAAGTGGGATGAAAAATCCCATCCAAAAGTTAATTATTGTGGTGGTAGTATCAATCCAATTAAATATCTCATTAAACATCCTATAATATCAAGTCTTCATGAGCCAAGAAATTTGTGAATTAAAATCAAAGATCTAAAGATAATACCATTTCATTATTCTTTCCCTCTAATATGTGAGTACCATTCCTCTCATGGTCATTGGCTACCCATATGTTTCTGTTTATTTTCGGGTTTTATTTTATTGATGATGTCTCATCTTTTTCTTTATTTTTAAAAGCACCAGATTTCTTCCCATACCAATCCTTTCTGCTGCTTACGCTAATTCCAGTTAGAAAAAGATGCGTGTGTTATTGACTTGATAAATGGAAGACAAAACACTAAGGTCACTTTTATGGACTTTATGCATTCACCCGCGGCATTAAAAAGGGAACAAGAAGCAATCAGAGGCTCGATATTTAGTAAAATGGGGCACAAAATATATATAATATAATCGTATGTATATAGAAGCAAAAATGATCATGACGTCTTCAAGAAAAAAATTTTAATTATCAAAAATTCTAATAATAAATGATTAGTATGAAGCTGTTGTTATTTCCTATTCCAGAACTTGTCATTACATGCTTCTTAATTATCAATAAATTTTAGATTGTGTTTGATAGGAAGCATTGAAAATGAGGGATTGAGATTAAGATTGCAATTGAGAAAAATCATTAAAATAGTGTTTCGTATGATTAATTGCTTATTATATGGGATTAGATAAACCCATAGAGGTGGGATTGGGGAATACCACTTCCCCCCATGATATTCTCCAATTCCACATACATAGGTTTGGCTAATCCCACGTAATAAACAATCTCTTATACTAAAGACTCTTTTAATAGTTTTTTTCAATTGCAATCTCAATCTTAATTCCTCATTTTCAATACTTTGTATCAAACAGGACCTTAGGATAAGTAAATCTTTTTTCAGAGAGATTCAAGGCTATAGAGGAACAACACGTGGATCCGACCCGCATCACACACCTGGCTGTGGTGGGTGAGTCTCCCAACAGGGATTTCTATATACGCTAAGGATCGAACTCGAAACCTTGCTTAAGTAGTACCAAGCCGCTTACCACTTGGACCAACTCTCATTGATCGTTGATATTGATATTATGAATGCCAAGATAAGACACTAATTTGCAGTCTCCCAATGGCAGCCACAAAATTTATTTTTCGAGTTGCGTGCTATGAAAACAGAGAAGCCATTGGGCCCGGGCTGAAGTGGATCAAGTCATAGCCACATAAGTGCAGACTTTGAGGCAGCGTCCACATGATAAGAAACTAATTTGCAGTGGCCCACTACTTGTCTCCCAGTGGCAGCCACAAAATTTATTTTTCGAGTTGCGTGCTATGAAAACAGAGAAGCCATTGGGCCCGGGCTGAAGTGGATCAAGTCATAGCCACATAAGTGCAGACTTTGAGGCAGCGTCCACATGATAAGAAACTAATTTGCAGTGGCCCACTACTTGTCTCCCAGTGGCAGCCACAAAATTTATTTTTCGAGTTGCGTGCTATGAAAACAGAGAAGCCATTGGGCCCGGTCTGAAGTGGATCGAGTCATAGCCACATAAGCGCAGACTTTGAGGCAGGGTCCAAAAGTGCGATGATCTCTTCTCCCTGAATCCCGTTCGCATTCTTCATTCATATGCTTGTTTCACCCCAGAAAAAATAGCTCAGGAAAACCGGCAATGGAAGATACCTTCGTCAGAATCCAAATTCCACAGCAAAAGGTTTATGACGGAATTCAATTCCCTTCCGTTGTGTCTCCCACTTCTTCCTCGTCTCTGTCCCGTCTCACTCACTCCATCCACTTCCACAAGCAGTTCCTGGAATCTCTGCTTCTTGAATCGGGTGCCGTACTTCTCAGAGGCCTCCCAGTGAACACAGCCTCCGATTTCAATGAAGTTGTCGAAGCATTTGGCTATGAGGAGCTTCCCTACCTGGGTGGCAATGCTCCTCGGCGTAACGTCGTGGGTCGGGTTTACACTGCCAACGAAGCACCGCCTGATCAGAAGATTCACTTCCACCATGAAATGGCTCAGGCCTGTCTCTGTCTTTTCCTGTGTCTGTTTGGTACACATAATCAAACATAATATATATTGTGGTGTTGTGTTAGTGTCTGTGCTTCTTATTAGGCCGGAAATGTTTATGTTCCTTCTTCCATTTAAAATTTTGTTTTGATTGACATACATGTTGACCGCGGAAACCTACCTTCATTGTGTCACTTTTTTCAGTTTTCACCCTGAAATTATTACTGACTGGGGTTTTATCAACAGCTACCTGCGTTCCCTTCAAAGTTGTTTTTCTTCTGCGATGTGCTGCCTGCTAGTGGAGGTGAAACTCCAATTGTTCCCAGCCATATTGTGTACGAGAAGATGAAGGAGAGGCACCCAGAATTTGTTGAACAACTGGAGAAGCATGGTTTGATATACATAAGGGTTTTAGGGGAAGAAGACAACCCTTCATCTCCAATTGGGCGTGGCTGGAAATCCACCTTCTTGACCCAAGACAAGATCGTAGCTGAAAAAAGGTTCGTAGAATTTGACTTTAATATCATTGTACCATGTTTCTGTCTTGTCGCTTCAGTAAGAATGGAAGAGAGAAGTCTGTTAGCATTTCATCTTCTGTTTTTGGGACGACATCATCATATCTCTGTCAACCTGCTTGACCTCAGCTTCACTTTATTTTCACTGCAGGGCGGCGAGATTAGGAATGAAGCTGGAATGGTTGGAAGATGGAGGAGTAAAGACAATAATGGGTCCAATCGCAGGTATAAAGCAAGACGAGGCAAGACAACGTAAGATTTGGTTCAACAGCTTGGTGGCTGCATACACAGGTTGGAAAGATGAACGAAATGATCCTGCCAATGCTGTCACGTTCGGAGATGGCAAACCATTGCCAGGTGATGTCGTCCATGACTGTCTCAGAATCTTGGAGGATGAATCTGTGGCCGTTCCTTGGCAAAAGGGCGATGTTCTGTTGATTGATAATCTGGCCGTCCTTCATTCTCGAAACACATATAAACCACCTCGCCGCGTTCTTGCTTCTCTTGCTAAGTAATAATCCTGAAGCTGTTTCTGATTTGGCTGCGTCTATGAATGATGGGGACTCCATAATTTAGGAATGTGATTTGGGTGCCTTTATATTGCCTCTCTTGGTTGTTGAATGAAATTGTTGGGCAAGTAAAACCAAGACTGGTAGTTGAAACAATCGTTCAAGTTCATGGAAGGAAATTCTATGTTTTTTTAGAAGAAATTCTATATTTTATAATTATACTTATTTTGAGAAAGCTTTGGTGCTTAAACTTATATAATTAGTATATTTCTTTTAATTTTGAATCAACTCAAAATAAGCGTTACTAATAATAGTTTCTTATAGGGTAAGTAATGGGTACAAATGAGGGGGAAAATATAAAATATATAAGTTTACGAATACATATTTTCCCTATTTAGCGCGCTTTGAGAAAGATAAAAATGCTTTTTGGTTTTTATATTTGGTTTGCTAAACATAATAAATATATATAAATTAAAGATGAGTAAATGATTGTGATTCATATCAATAAAAATGACTCATATCGTTGCAAACAATTAAAAGTGAAAAATCCAAATTTTTTTAAAAGAAATGTGAAAGAAATTATATTCTGCTTAACAAAATTACACCAAAAGTGGCATAGCACTCTATAAAAAAAGGTTATTCTGGATAGGGAACAAGGATCGTGACTCTCATGACGACTCAAGGCCTGGCATTTAGCTGATTTTGCGTTTGTGTATATGAGAAAAAAATTAAATGTTTTGAAAGTATTAAATTAAGAATTAATAAAAATTACTTCAAATTGAAAATTAAAAAAATGAAAAGGGTGAAACAATATAAAGGAACAAATTGAAGATTAGGTCAAATTGATACAATGTGAAGGAAATATTACCACTTAATAGTTGAATAAATTAAAAGTGTATGTGGGTTTTGTAAAACAGATAGTACGGTACAAAAAAAATTCCATAATTAAAATAAGAGAAAATTCCAGAAAAAGCTCTTGAAATATAGAAAATTTCATATTGGGTTCTGGAATTTTGAAAATGACAGAAAGAGTCAATAACCCAACCTGTTATTTGCAAAATCAAGAGGAATTGACAGCTTTGCCTTCATTTGTATTCACTACAATGATTTAAAGAATCACTAATAGTTATTCTCTATACTAATCTAGGTAATGCCTAAACTCGTATAGTGATTCCTTAAATCATTGGGGTGAATACAAATGAGAGCAAAGTTGTCAATTCCTCTTGATTTTGCAAATGACAGGTTGAGTCATTGACCCTTTTTATCATTTTTAAAATTTCAGGACCCAATATGAAATTTTTTATGTTTTAAGGGCTTTTTTTGAGGTTTTTCCTTAAAATAAAATATAAGGAAAATGTATTTGACCCTAAAAAATATAAAAGTAATTTGTAAACGAAAAGATATTAAAAGGGTTCGCTTTCCCGAAACGTCATTCAGCAATGCTGGGTAACGCTATCAAAACCTGCCGCTCCAGCCACCACAATTCAGCCTCCATTGATCTCATCCTCTAGATCTGAAAGTCTCCGAGAGGCAAAAGCTCTATCGTTGACTCAAATTCTCTGATCTTTCCGACCTCTGCGATCACATACAGGTACGTTCTCTCTCGCTATGCCTCCATGTGCTCCTTTACCTTCTCAATTAGTTGATTTGTTTCTCTTTTATTTGGAGAAAATCCGGAGATTCAGATCTCCTTTGCACAGTCGGTGAAGTCTTCGCCTTAATCGGGCTCTCAATATGCCGATCTACCATATTTGCTGAAGTTTAGACAATTTTAGCTTTTACTTCTGCCAAAATCCCCCCCCTGGGGGGGTGGTTGGCGGTGAGTTTCTTATTTATTTCTTTGTTTGTGACGTGCAAGAATATGCAGAAACGAACTGAAGTTAAAATTTTGATTCTGGAATTTTGTTTCCCTAGTAACCACCAGATCCTGGGATTATACCTTTTCTTTTTCTAAGTAAATTATAAGCTTTTTTTTTTCCCCTGGAATTTTCGTTCACAGTCCGTATGTTCTTTGAGATAAAAAGGTTAAAATGATATCTCACCATATTTTAGCTTGGATGCTTGATGATGAAAGAGGAACTTTATGATGGATGAATTCATAGCGTAATTTTCTGATTTTGGAATTGTTTCCTTAATAACAATATCTTATGGTTTTGCCTTCAAAAATTGTAAGTTAAAAATTTTAGAGGAATTTTGTTTCTCAATCCTAAGGTTCTGTGAGATAAATTGGTTCAAATGATCTCTCTGACCATGCTTTAGCCTGGATGCTTGATGCTGAAAGAGGAACTTTTTATTGCAGAAGAGTTCAATGAATGTTTAACTAGCAGCGATATGTCTGTGTGTGTCAGTGACTCAGTGATATATTTATTACTTTATGTTTAACTCCTGCGTGGAGGAGATTTATATAGGTAGAGTTAGAGGGGAAGTGGGAAGTATGGCTTCGTAATATGAATCCACGCAATGGATGATGAAGTCTGTATTTGGGTTTGATTTACTTTGAATATAGATTAGTTTTGTATTGCGATATTGTCAACTGTATAGCTATTGTCCACTTTCATTATTTAATGGATCCATAGCTAGCTAGCCTGATATATTGAACATCAATGTTTGGAGTTCTGAGACTTTGTTAGATGCATATGCTTCTGACCTATTTGGCAATACTGTACATCCTGATTTTCCATTTTTGCTGTTACAGTAGAACGGAAAAATGAGCCGAGCACGGGATCCACACAGATCTTTCTTCCCTTTTGGAAACCCTTTCCGAATGTTATCACCTAAAGGCTCTCAAATGTCCTCACAACTTCTTGGAATATTAAATTCTTTTGAGGCAACACTGGCAGAGAGGCTGAAGAAGCTTATGCCGAAAAACGAGGATGAAATTCGTAGTATATCATGGATGACCCTAGCAATGGAATCACTTTGTGAAACTCACAATGATATAAAAACCCTTGCACTAGATATTGATCTCCCTGTGAGTGATTGGGATGAAAAATGGATTGATGTGTACTTAGACATAAGTGTGAAGCTGCTCGATATATGCATTGCATTTAGTTCTGAGCTCTCACGCCTGAACCAGGGGCATCTTTTGCTTCAGTGTGCGTTACACAATTTAAACACCCCCTCACCACAGCAGTTTGTGCGAGCATGTTCTTCAATCGATGGATGGAGGAATCATATTAGTTCTAGGAATCCTAGGATTGAGAAATGTGACACCATTTTAGATAATCTTTTGGGATCACTTGATTTGCCAAAGGTTAAGAATTCAGCTAAAGGGAAGGTTTTGATGCAAGCTATGTATGGGGTCAAGGTGCAAACAGCATTTTTATGCAGTGTGTTTGCTGCAGTTTTCTCAGGCTCTGCAGAAAAGTTGTTAGGGTTGGATGTAGCTGACACATATTTGTGGGCTCAAGCTTTTACAAGTTTGCGGAACGTTGTAAATGAGGAAATTAAAATTAAAGTTAGATTTTCCAATGGAAGGTTTGCTGTATTGAAGGAGTTGGAAGCAGTTGATGCCTTTGTGAAGAAATTATACCCTATAATCCAGGGTGAACAAGATGCTGTTGAGACAGAAGCGCTTCAGAAGACTGTTGAGGAAACAAGCAGGGCGGCAGAGAAGCTTTCACAAGGATTAGACCATCTTGCAAAGGAAGTGGATGGTTTTTTCCGAGTAGTCTTATCTGGCCGTGATGCCTTGCTATCTTCTCTGAGGTCAGGTGCAACTTTCTGCGACAATATCCCTAGGGGTACTATGGATGAGCAGAGAGTAAATTGAATATGCTGCAACCTAACTCTGTTACATACTGATGGGCCTAGGTATGGTGGCGTTTTATGTTTTATGGTCTATTGTGGTTTTCAGTCTTGTTTGGCTTATTGTTGTATTTATTGTAGGTTATGTTACAATGCTATGGCGGGGAAATGTATAAGTTGGCGTAATTGTGTAATGTCAAACAATATAAAATATATGAATAGTGTTTTATGTGAACTTGCAAGCTGGAAAGTGTTGACTCCTAGTATCTTTGGATCTTTTCTGTATTCCTTTTTGGGAGGGATTCTGTTTCTTGCGTATCACGCTCTTCTATTTTTAATAGCAAGCGATAATGCGCATATTAGATGCTGGAGCTGCTTTGTCAAGTGGAATTTGTTTGACCTGAAATTGATAGACATTACATTGGATGAATTTGCAGCTATAGTTCATTATAGAACATGAATTAATCTGCAGCATGATTGTTCATACCTGATTTGGTTTTAGTTTAACCTGATGGATCCACTGAAAAGAACTTGATAGCTGTCGCAACAACGTAGTTTTCCTCATCTCTTTTTGGCCATGCTTTTCAGCCTTTATGGCATTGATTGGATTCCTGATATGTTAAATGTTCTTGCTGATGAAGATCTCTCGGGCGAAGTTCGGCAACCTTGAATCAATCCCCAATAGCTATTGAGGCTTGTGCCTTTTGCTATTTAATAAGCATATGTGCACTTGGTGACCCATCAACTGTTTCAGAGGCGAGGGAGCAGAAACAATATGGAGTTGGAAGGGTAAAACTCTGCAAAGGATTACAGGGCAGGCGAAAGGGTTATACCGAACATTAACCGTGATTGACAAATTTAACAACCACTCAGATAACTCTAACTCTATGACAACGGTGACTTGATAAAATGTATAGAATTTTTTTTTATTTTTATATATAGACCTCCCCCCCCCCCCCAAATTTAGAACATCGAAATGTTTTTTTTTTCCTTTTAAACATTGACAAGTCTATTGTTTTACAAGTATGATTACTCTAAGGGGTGTTTGGGTAACTAAGAAAGTGTTTTTAAAAAATATTTTTTTACAAATCGAGATAAATTTTTTTATATATTTATTTCGTATAGTATAAAATTATTTTTAAAAATTATGTTTCGGTATGCATTCAAGCATTCCCGATTTCTGAATACAGGATTAATTATGTGGGATAACACCATTTCAAAAGAGTAGTGTGAACTGAAGAATACGTGTTGATTATTTTTCCATAGCAAAGGAAGGAGATCAATCTCGTTTCCATCTTGTTCTTGCTGGTCAAATACCTTCTAGAGTACTTTTTTTTTTATCACCTGAACCTTCTAGAGTACTTCAAATTCTTATGTTTGACCTTGACTAAGGGAGAGTTTGGAAGCCCTTAAAAATACTTAAAACAAATTCTTTCACTCAAGTTGAGATAAAAAAATTTTCTCATATATTTATTTTGAATATTGTAAAATTATTTTTAAAAAGTCAATCTAAACACCCCTTAAAATAATACAATTGTCAGTACGGACTGGTCCAAGTTGTAATGAGAAATGCCACAAGTGATACATTTGCATATTTGAGGAACAAATCGTTGGCTCTCCATGCTTTTGTACTTTTCTTTCGTTCCTTTTATTTTCTAGTAGTTCTCTCCCTTTTTTTTCATGCAATACATTAATCATATACCTGAAGCAAGTCTTCGCGTCCCCAAGTATTATCTATTTTGTGCATCTCAAGGACAAAAAAATTTGAGGACAAAAGAGGTTGTTGAAGTTGTTATATAGAAGTGTACGCATTGTTTAAGATAGATCAAGTGATCAACCTTATGGACTATCACTTCAGTTAGAAAGCATCCATCTTAAATTTCAATCAAGAAAAAAAAACATGAAAAAATTGATCGATCTTTTTGTCATCAAGTCAGACATTTGACTAAACTGTTTTGTGGAGTTTGGTCAGATTAAAAGAAGTTTTCAGTTGACACAAAACCTGATGGTATTTTTATTTTTTTTCAACTTAGAAATAACAAAAATCTGTAGGCTGGCGGTTTCAATCCTAAGTTCCTAACCTTAGACTTTGACCATTGTGCCTTTATCTTCGTCGTCCTCACACGCTCACCCTTTTTTTTGCCCAATCTTCAAACTTTGCAAACCACTCTTGCCTTCCCACACTTTATCTGACCCCGATTTTCCGAACGTGCAACTTCGTAGAAATTACAGGTATATGACTATTTTGGAAAAAAAAAAGTATTGCTATAAGATATGAGAAAAGTTTAATCGATCCTTTCACCCCAACAAAAATCCATCGATCCAACTTATTCCTTTTTTATTCTTACAAGTTAACAAGTTTTTGTCCAAAACAAAAGGGTAAAAATACCAAAAGAAAAAAAAAGGGGAAGGACTTTTATCAGCGTATTGAATAGTTATATATATATATATATATTTCAATTTCACCTCATATGAATAAATAATAATTAATAGACATGCGTTGAACAAATTAATAAAGGAAATAAATTTGTAGATATTTTACTTTCGTAATTTTTTGAAATTATCTACTTATTTATCAAAGTCAATTTCTTCACGAGTCATACAAGCGTGCGTTCCAAGTTCAAAAGCCTCCTTCAAAGTTTTCACACAAACGCGTTCTCTCCCCCCCCCCCCCCCAAAAAAAAACCGAAAAGAAATGTCAAAATTCTTTCTTAAATCTACCGACACGTCCCCTCCCAATTCAGCATCTCCTCTTCCGATTTGGCTGTTTTCCCTCTGGTATTTTGCTTTCTTAAGTTCTTCCCATTTCGGAATCGGACCTCTCAAGCAAAGTTCTAAAGACATGTCTGTTCAATCACTCTCTGCTTCAGCTGAGCACAACATCCAAGGGGCGCCCACTCATGGTGGACGCTACGTTCAGTACAATGTGTACGGAAACCAATTCGAGGTTTCCAGAAAGTACGTGCCTCCACTTCGGCCTGTGGGCAGAGGTGCTTACGGTATTGTTTGGTAAGAAATTTTGTGGCTTTGAACTTTTGTATTGATTTAACTTGCTTCGGGAGTTTTACCGTGTTTTTGTTGATTCTGGGGTGTTTGTGGGGTTGCTTTAAGGCATGTTTTGGGGGACTTCGGATTTGTGACTTTGAAAGCAAGAAAGTTCTCTCTTCTGATAATTGAACCATTTGTCAGTGGAGTACTTAAAAGGTGAAGGCTTACTTATATATGTGGAGGGACTAGATTCTTGTTATTTACTTTATGGGGGATTTTAGACATTTCTCACGGGGTTTGGCATGTATTATTCGGTATTTTCTGTCATTGGCAAAATCTAATTTTCTTAAGTAATGATCGAAGTGATTATTTTGGTGATGATGGACGCTATATTTAAGTTCACACCAAAATTGCTCATCTTCTTAAATAACATAGGGGTCTTTCACTTTTTTATTAATTGTTACGGGCGGAAAAAAATTACAAAGCTGAATCAGTGTGTCGGTTATTTTTTCTATGTAGTTAACATTCGAGTTATCGCCATTTCTTGTTATCGTTTGAGTTTGATTGGAATACATTAATTTAGAAGTTGCTCACATTGGATTAAATTGACTATATATAGTTTTGTGCATTCTTTATTGTGCACTGGATTATCTCTGTGTACGGATTCATTAGTTTTTCTTAAATCAAATTGTAACTCATGATTCAATGATTCATATGGTATCTCTGTGATCTGGTTGTATAGAAACTATAAAGAGCACAATATCATTGAATTAAGGATCACTTATTTGTGACAGTTTCCTATAATTTGGCGTTTGGTTCTCATTTATCTTTTATGCGACTTGTATGTCTTTTATCAACAATCTGAATTCAATATTATTATAAGAATAATTATTATTATTCACTAGATACATTTTTGTAATTTTCTTTAGTGCTGCTGTAAATGCTGAGACACGTGAGGAAGTTGCAATTAAGAAGATTGGCAATGCATTCGACAACAGAATAGATGCCAAAAGGACCTTACGTGAAATTAAACTGCTTCGGCACATGGATCATGAAAATGTAATTTTGGCAAACTTTTTATTAGCTTCTTATAATTAAACCTTGTTTTCTCATTATTGTTTATTTGGTCTTTATTTTTTCTTTGGTTCAGAAAATTCACTTTGTTTGATTTATTCTTTATTCTCTCATTCATCTACTTCTGAACTCAGCTTTCAAAGAGCACTGCTCACTGTTCTGTTAATTTTCCAATGCAGGTCATAGCCCTCAAAGACATCATTCGACCTCCACAGAAGGAGAATTTCAATGATGTGTACATTGTGTATGAATTAATGGACACTGATCTGCACCAAATAATACGTTCCAATCAACTGTTGACTGATGATCATTGTCGGGTTGGCACTTCAACTATTTGTTTTGGCTTATGAAATTTAATGTGCACCTTTCTTTTCTACATGGAGTTTTCCCTCTTTGCTAATTAATTGTTTGCTTTGTTGACTGTATACTTTATGTTGTCCTTCAATGTTTTATGGGATGCATTTTCCTTTTTACAATCACGGATGCCCTTTGGACAATGGGGAGTGTATTCTTAGAGTAGAGTAAAATCTGAATTTTTGAGAATCTTCGGTGTAATTATCAGCCGAGATCTTTTGATCTCGACAGTAATTTGATTGTGTAGGATGTTGTGTGTATGTGTATATATTTGCTTGGCCTCCTGATTACTTACACGTGAAAATGATAAGAACAATGCAAGTAGTGCTTTTACAATTTATATTTAATCTTATACTTAATTTTCTTCGACTTTCATCCAGTAATTGCATATAATTATATCTCTGTCTTACTGTCATTAATAAGATCTATTCCTTCAGTATTTTCTGTATCAGTTGCTACGAGGACTCAAATATATACATTCAGCAAATGTTTTGCATCGTGATTTAAAGCCGAGCAATTTGTTCTTGAATGCCAATTGTGACCTTAAGATTGGAGACTTTGGGCTTGCCAGAACTACGTCTGAAACTGATTTTATGACTGAGTATGTGGTCACTCGATGGTACCGGGCTCCAGAATTGCTTCTTAATTGTTCAGAATATACTGCTGCTATTGACATATGGTCTGTTGGTTGTATCCTTGGTGAAATGATGGTAAGGCAGCCCCTCTTCCCTGGCAAAGATTATGTCCATCAGCTGAGACTAATCACAGAGGTAAATGCCATAAAACTAAACTTTTTTTTTTTTGGGTGCATATCCCTTGTTATACTTTCTAATGAAAGGACATGAAGCTGAAACTGCTCTAAGAATCGTATATAAGTGATTATGAAGTGTGGGTGTGGGAGGCTGGTTTATAAAATTTGTATCACTCACCTTGAGTTTGATCACACTTCTATCAAACCCTGTCGCTATAGGAGTCAGGAAGGTCTTTTCTTTGAAAAAAATAAAAAGGGAAAAAGAAACTGAAGTACAATTGAAAACCAAGCGCATGAACCCAAAATTTGAAATACGAGAGGTTCGAGTGTGTGATTCTGTATATCTTTGAACTTGCTACAAATCGACCATGCTCATACAAGATTTTTCAACCAAGCTACCGTGTTGAGAAATGATAATGACAAAATTCCGTATCCTTTCAAAGCTCATAGGTTCACCTGATGATGCTAGCCTTGGATTTCTGCGGAGTGATAATGCTCGTAGATATGTAAGACAGCTTCCACAATATCCCAGACAACAGTTTTCTGCTAGATTTCCCAACATGTCTCCTGGTGCTGTTGATTTGCTGGAGAAGATGCTTGTCTTTGACCCTAACAGACGCATTACAGGTGACTTGGCTCACACTAAGGCATTATCTATCTATCTATCTTTGACGGAGTTGGGACTGCTGATTATTCCTAGCGGCTGCCTGAGTCGAAAGAGATGAAAACATTATCAGATGCCTAGTCTCACATGAAGTAGTGTAGGCTCCTCTATGAGATATTTTAGCGGATAGGTTCTCTCAATTTCTAGTCTCTTGATAGCAGGTTTTCTGAGCCTATCATTTTTGGTGAAAACCTGTGTGGGCTGTGTTAATCCTTTGAGCTGTTGCCCGCTAAGGCATATTAATTACGATGGATTCTTCTTTTTCTTGAAAGAATATTTTCATTGATAGCACCTTATGCTTGTTATGCAGTTGATGAGGCTCTGTGCCACCCATACTTGGCACCTCTTCATGATATAAATGAGGAACCCGTTTGCCCCAGACCTTTCAGTTTTGATTTTGAGCAGCCGTCATTTACTGAGGAAGATATCAAGGAACTTATCTGGAGAGAATCTGTGAAGTTCAATCCTGATCCACCGCATTTCTGAGACACTGCTGTGCATGCTCGATGAAATACTTGATTGGTTCATAAACAACACTATCTGGAAAGCTTTAAGTCCTCCAGAAGGGAAGTTCTGAAAATATATCGAAGATGATCGCAACTTAACGAAAGCTTGATGAAGTCTTTTTATTTAGCTCAGTCTCACGTTCTTGGATATATGCACTGTTGCCATGTTTTGTGGCAGAAGGATCAGAAGTTAAGCAGCACTCTGCGAGGCTGCTTGTGCCGAAATCTCAGAGATGTTTCAGCAGAATATGTGTGAGAGCTCCTACTTATTCTTGGTGTATCTGTCTTTCAGCTAAGACAGACTAGGACCTTAAATTATTGCAGTGATCTGGTGCTGCTAGTTTTTATATCCTTTAGGTCAAGAAGCATACACTAGAACACTTTGATTTGTAGGGACAGACGTGTGAATGTACTGGTGTGTTAGTGTTTCGAATGTTTCAGAAATAGTATGGGTTGGTCAGTTTCTCCGAGTTTGGTCATTGTTTCGGCTGAAGTTAAACATCAATGTAAGAAAACTTTTTTCTTTATCTTTTAAAGCCGCAAGCTAGTTGATGTTTGCTGCTTCTTTTTTTCTTTAAAAAAAATATATGAAAGCGGAACTGCTATATTTTCACTTAAAACCTTGTCAAAAAGTGAAGACAGATTTAAATTGATTTTGGTAACTTTTTTTTTTTAACAATTTGCATTGGTTTTGTTGGATGCAACTGATTTCAAAACCACCAATTTAAGATAACTCGTTGCTTAGCTTGAGCAATATCGTTTTGGTTAATCTGAAAGACTAACCTTACAAACATAACCTACGCGTACTAATGTAAATAGTCCAATTGAACACACCGATCATGCAACTTTCAATCTATAGGTACACTTCTTGAACTCCAGCTCATCAATGGGCGGACTGTCCTTTGGAAAATCACACGCCGTGATCTTCTCCGGGCCCTGATCTCGCAACAAATCACACGGCGGCGGCGTCACACCACTCGTCATGCCTGCGATATCAGTGCACGTCCAATGCTGCTTCTTGGCCTTAACCGCCATCCCAATTGTGACATTGGCAATGCAAATTCCAGTAAAAGGGTCATTGGCAATCCCCTCTAACCTAGCAGCCATGCTGACATTGTCAGCCACCACATCTCTGTAGTTGATGTTCTTAATCTCAGGCAGTGCATGGGGGTCGTAGTTCTTATCAGCATGAGAACCATAATTGCCAGTCATCCAGAAGGCCCACTTCATGGTGTGCATTGTGAACTTCCTGACGTATATGTCCCTCACGAACCCTCCTCTTCCCACGGCAGTTTTGATCCTGACTCCAGATTCTGTGTGGATGGCAGTGATGTCTTCTGCCCGGACGTCTTCAATGCCGCCGGACATTTCGCTTCCGAGAGCAATGGTGGCACTGTAAGGGGAGATGCAGGTGAGCCTTCTGATAATGAGTTGCTTTGTGGGCCTTCCGAACTGTATGCCATATTCATCCCAGCCACTCTTGACGGCCACACAGTCATCTCCAGAAACTATGTAACAGTCTTCAATTCTGGTGTTTGTGCAAGAATCTGATGCGTCGAGGTTTCAAGAGAATGAATGGCAAAATAAATGTCAGCACATAATAACAGTCTTAATAGATTACTTGATCACGAAGGAAAGCTCAAATCTTTATGGATTAATCTGAGGGAGACAAACCTGGGTTGATGCCGTCAGTGTTGGGAGAAGTGACAGGAGCAAGAATGGTGATTCCTTTGACAAGAATGTTGCTGCTATAAACAGGATGAACATTCCAAGAGGGAGAGTTGAGGAGGGTGAGGTTGGAGATTTGGATGTTGTCGGAGAACATGAGCTCGATGAGGTAAGGGCGGGTGTATTTGAGCTTGCTCTTGTGGAATTGCTGCCACCAGAATGCACCCTGACCGTCTATGGTCCCATTGTCCCCTGTCATCCAATCCAATGCCTCATATTTTAATTACACATTCTTACCAATCCAGAAGAAGCAAAAGATAATGTGGGAAAGTGAGAGGAGTGGCCGAGTGGGAGTTGTTGGAATTCGAACTACCACATTTCTGTTGAAAAGGTTTACCAAAACCTCAAACTAATGCGTTGAATAAAACCTTGTCCCTCTTAGTGCTGTGGTTGTCAAAGTTTTGATATTTTTCCCCACATAAAATAGTTCAATGATACAAATGAGGCGTACTCAATATTTAATAATCCTAAGTTGAGCAAGATATATTTTGATTCTAAATGTAAAACTTCAATTAATCATCCGTTGATAACACGTATTAAGAGGGTTTTCATCTACATAAATTTTTATGACTAATTAACTTAATTAATTTCCTTAATATCTACAAATTAATCATCTAGTTAGAGAGCATAGAAAATGAATTTGGGACGGATAAAAGAGGATAGTTAGAGAGGGTGAGGCAGAAGCAAACCAGTGATAATGACGTCGGTGAGGTTGGTGCCGAAGATGAGGCTGCTGAACCTTCCGGCCGCCGCATCTCTTCCACGTCCGTACGATGGCAGCGGCTTTAACGCCGGCCATTCGTTTATGTCCTGATTCATTCATATTCATGCACTTTTAGGAATTTCATTCATAACTCAAGATAAATCTAATTGTATTTGTATTATAACAGCTTCTCTTCCTCATCTTACAAATAAGGAGGGGGGGGGGGGGTCAATTCTTTTGCCTTCATGATATCTGAAACACTGCCTAGCTTATTTATTAACATAACTGATTCTTATAATTCCGGAAAAGAAATCAATGCCCCCCCCCCTTCTTTTTACAAACTCCTTATTTTACCCAAAGTCTAAACTTCCCAAATCAAGAGTCGAAATTCATGATTTTTTTTATTTCTATAAATTATCTAAAAAAAAATTTTTTTTGCCATCAGTATCTAAAACAAATATATACTCGTCTGATCCTTCTTATGAGTTATATTTTTAGAGATATTTAAAAATTTAATGTATTTTTTATTTTACTCTCAATTAATTATATATTTTTCATTTTTTTCCCCTTCTCTTTCTCTTTCATCCTCTCTATAAATAACGAAATATATATAAAAAAATATATTTATTGTTTTTAATCAATTTTAACTTATAATATTTTTTTAAATTTTCGTTTATTTGTGACTTATAAAAAGAATTGCTAATGCTAATAACAAAAGGTTAGGTTGAACAGAATATAAATTCGCACTTCTAACTTTATTTATGGGGTCATCTCCCTATATTAATTATGGGATGTCCCACACGACTTCCAGCCCGTGAATCACTCGAAAGCGTCAATTTTTATGTCCATATATGCGCAATGACAATTCCATCCCTCGTACCCAATATTCTCAACAAGGTAAAAAAAACAGGTTCCTCTCCTCTCCTCTCCTCTTCTGGCCAAAACGAAGTTCAGACTTAAAGAAGCAGAAGGAGAATGGAGGCATACCTGAGAAGCAAGAAGAACAGCTTCTTTGTGAAGATAAAGCGTGAAGTGACTGATGAGGCTGAAGCTTCCGGTGAGCCATTTCCCCGGCGGAACGTACAGCTGAGCCCCTCCTTCCGATGAGTACTTGCTCAGTGCGCTTATCGCACTCTGAAACGCCTTCGTGTTCGACGTCTTCCCGTCTCCCACCCCTCCGTACTCGCTCAACGATGCACTGTGCGCTCTGCAATTGATCGCTGCGTACTCAAACGACGTCGTCACGTCCCTCACGTTCCTGCTCTCCCCCCTCTCTGAAATCGCCACCCCCACCATTATGAGAGCCACTACTATTTTCCCAATCACCTGCAAAAACAGAGCATTTATACCGTAACAAGAAAAAGAAGCGGAAAAAACAGAGCATTTATGGCCGGAGACTATTCTTTCGTAATTTTCACAAAAATATACGGCTGAAATACAGAGAAATGGGGTTTGATTACCTCCATGATCCTGAGAGAAAAAGGCATCTGAGTTTAGTTCTGGTTTGCCTGTGCGTGAGAGAGAGAGGAGAGAAGTGGGGTATTATTTATAGGAAAAAGAGGGGTTGTTTTATTTGCGGTTAACAAAGTTAAAAAAGCTTTTCCCCATAATGTAAGGTCTAATTGCAAATGATTACGTCAATATTAAAATTTAGTTGCCACTTAGAATCATTTTCCTTCTGTGTCCATCGTCATGGATACAATCCCATTTCCCTGTCTGTTTTTTTTTTTTTTTTTAAATTTTTAGTTATTTTCAGAGATAAATAGCCTATTATGGACAAGAAATTGGCTAGGCTGTTCTGTTTCAACCAGCTCCGTTTTGCATTGTCCGAAGAAAATAGAAATCTTTACGCCTTTTGGTTACTCTGTTGCTAGTATAAGAAGAGCAAGCCACATGGATTAGTTAAATTGATTGTGTTTCTAATTGTAATTCTCCATAATTTAACTTGTCTTGTCGTTTCATGAACTTCTCCTTAACCGTGTATTTAAAATAGAAAACAAAACTTGAAGCATGAAAATATACTGGTCCTTCTAGTTCTACTTGTATAACAAAGCACCCTTCGTAAACTGTAAGTCTGTGTCAGTCATGTTTAAAAATAAGTAATTGATATGATTATAAGAGGTATTGTCATATTAATATAGGAAAGAGAAATATAATCATTATAGTAGAGTAGTACAAGTATTAATATTAGTTTGTGTGTGGGAGTTTTTTTCTCCAAATCCATGAGTGATACTCCCTCCGTTCCTTATTATAAGAGACATTTGATGTTTATGGCATGTTCCTATATATAAGAGACACTTACAAGTTGTCTCTACTTTTTTGTGTTGATTTACTAATTTACCCATATTTATTATCTCCAACTCACACTCTCTCTCCCTCCCACTTCTCTTTCTTTTAATAATTTAATTGTTCTCTCTCATGCTCTCTCTCCTTATTAATGACAGCATTTTTAGAAAAAAATTATACATTTTACACATTAATTGTTCTTAACTAATTTTAACTGTTTTTTTATCAACGTACTTCGGTTATTTGTCTCTTATAATAAGGAACGGAGGGAGTACTTGCTAATTAATTTTCTCTTCCTTTTGCTTTGGACAAAATCACACAGCGTTCAAATCTTCTCTATGAGACGCCAAGTTATCTGCAAAATTCAATTCGTCATTAATTGTAATTGATCAGACATTTTGTTTCTCAGTATCTTAATTATTCCCAAATTAAAGCAAGTATTGCTTGTGTATCATATGAACCATAAATTATACACATATTCGCTGTCTTACTATTAAAGACCACAAGAGATAACTAACATGTTTTCATTAAAAATTTATAATAGAAATATGAAAGAGTGCGAATAAGTTTAATACGAAGTCTTTGATTGGACCAGGGTAGGTGGATGATGGACCTAAAATTAGATCGGCGGGTTAGTTAATTGTGGTTTGGAGTTTCAAATTATCGTGTCATTAATTTCCTCGTTCTATTTTCTTTAAAATATCACGGGAAAGTCCAAAGCAGCACACTTACAGTGAAACTGAAAGGAAAAAAGTTACAAAACTGAAATTTGTGTTTATAAAAGCTGTTTTAAATACTACACATGGTTCTTAATATAAAGACCAGATCACTCATTTAAAAAGAATGAAAAATTAATTAAATTGATTATTTGTTGTGCTGTCTTTTTTAAACTACCCTGTATAATTATGTGTATCGACACTACCTCTTACTGAAAATACTTTATAATTAATAGGAATATTTTAAAAAAATTTATAAATTTATAGGACAGATTAGATTGAAGTATTATATTTAAAATAAAATTTAACTCCTAATTAATTCTCATGATAAGTGCAAGAGGCGGTATGTAACAAGCAATATATAAGAAAGTAATGCCCATGATTGACTTTATGGACAACGGTGTCTTAATAATATAAAAAAAAAAATTGCCATCAAATTGCCATCAAAAGTTAACTGGTTTGATGCGAGAAAATCATTTTCTCAACATTAGTTTTTTTGGTTAATATAGCGAATTCTGAGTGTGCTGTCCTGCTCTGTTTTTTAAAAAAAAATGTTTTGAAGTCTTCGTAAGATCCACAATAAAGAGATGTGAGATTATTAAATAAGGATTACTCCCTCCGTTTGCTTTCTCAATCTTCAGTATAAAAAGGAGAGAAGAGATGGCATTTAGCAAAGAAAGGACAGAAGAAGAAAGGATGGAATGGGAGGGAGGTGATAAGGAGTGAGAAGAAGGCTCCGTTTTACTTTGGGAGGGCAGTGGTGGAATGAACACAGGCCCTGCGGGACCCACAGTTTTGGCTTTAAGCGTGATTGGACCGCTGGATTTATCATGGGAATGGGGATTGCAAGGTCGTCCGTGACCGAGGGAGCGCGTGCGCGCACTCTCTCTCTCTCTCGCTTTCACGCCCCTTCCCACCACCACACCCATTGCCGACCCACTTCCTTCTTCACGGGCTGTCATGCTCCCTCCGCCCTCCCTCTTTTTATATCCTTATCTTCTTCCTTCTCTTACAAACATTCTCTCACGCCATGGATAATATTTTTTATGACCATTTGAAATATTTCAAATTAACAGAGAGACTCCCTGATTATAAGTTCAACTGCACAAAGATGATGTTAAAACTAATTACCTTTAAGATGTCAATCTGCTTCAAAAAAATTTTGTTTGGGAATGTTGGGCACCCAAATATTGTTTGAGATGTAAATATATCATAAAAATTTAAAACTGTAATAATACTTCCCCTTACCAATAACAAACTAATGTTAACCATCAACATTTTTAACACTCTTCTGGTCCTTAATATAACACCTATTTAACTAATTTGATCAGATTAAGCAAGTTAAGTAAGTTAGTTAATTATAAGAAAAGTGACACATTTTTCCTAAAACACTATAATCATCTTTCTTAATACCTCCTCTTCCTCTTCTACTTGATTATGGTTGAGGGAGTATCTATAGAGGTAATTTAGAGAAAATTGATAAATATGAGAAATGGTTTTTATATTTAAGATCAAAACTAACTCAAGAATTAGATCCTATATTAAGGACTGAAGGAGTAGTATTTAGAGCAATATTGTTATAGTTTTAAGCTTTCATGGCATATTTGCACCTTCTAAATATTCAGTACAATGTATTGCAAGAATTCAAAGCTTTGATTCTGATATGAAGAACCATCAACATAGAATGTAAAATGTATTCACCACTGATATGACTGTTTTGCGAGAGTATCCATTGTTTTTTTGGGGGGGGGGGGGACTCAACAGTTTGTGTTTGTTTTTTTTCCCCCCAAAAAAATATTTTTCCATCTAAAAGTTCAAACTAGTGGCATATAACATCAGCAATTTAGGTTGAATTTCACCATACACATCTTGGCAGGACGTCAAATTTTTAATTAGCTATAATATTTAATTAGGAATGTGGGGTGGATCTTAAAATAAGATGCATGCTCACGGATTTTGTACCCCATATTAATAATGGGAATGGCATTTCATTCAAGTGGATAAATTTGTCTGACTATTAGCCAATTAAGGACATAATTTATTCAAAGAAAAAAATTAAGTCGATAAATTATAATAAAATACTCTGTTGACCCTATTTATAAAGTAGAAGAAAAAATACTACTTTTCTAGTTCTACAAGTTAAATCATTAATTTTTTCTATATAAATATATAATTTTATCTATCATTTATTATTACATAGACTTTGTTCTAAGTGATACTCTATATTATATATTAAAAAGAAGCAAAATTAAAAAAATTATTAAATTTTAAGATAAAATTAATGACGTTTGAGGTTTTTTTTTAATGACAAACCTATAATAACTAAAAGGAAATAAACATATAATAATAATAATAATTTGAAGGTTGTAACTTGTAAGTCACGAGAGCACTCAGAATTTCTAGAAAGGTAAAAGTTTAATTAAATGGGCATTAATAAGTGGAGGTGTTTGCGGATGTGATTCCAAGCCACAGAAACTTTTCTGTGCCGAAACTCGAAACACCATCACGAGCCCACTTCTCTGTTTGCTTCCGACAAAAGATAACATTATTCTTTGTCTTTTCTTTTTGAAAAATACTCCACATCATCCATATGAGTTAATTTAATTATTACTTTTTTAATGTAAAAATTAGTTGATTAATTTGAGTACATTAAAAAAATTTATTAAGTTAATTATTTATAATGAATAGTTATTATTTCTTTCAAAATACTCTTGTTAATTATGTATATTAGTTAGAATTACTATTTGATAAAACGGTTAACATATACAACTATTATAAGAACTACTTTAAAAAATAAATAAATATAAAAGATAAAATATATCAGGATTTTATATTTATGACTAAATTAAATATCAAACTAGTTTTTATAATATAGAATGGAAGTAGTATTTATTAATTTGTTATTTTTTTCCGGAATAATCTTTCTAATCATATGCATTATAACTACTATTTAGTATAAATTTTCTTATCATGGACCATCAATAAAAATATTTTAAAAAAGTATGTTTAAAAGATAAAATTAATTAGCATCTTATATTTTCCTATTCATGATCAAAAATTTAGAGAATAAAAAATTTGGTCATTGAAGAAATGGATCTTAACGTTATGATTAGTTGTAAGTGGCGAGGTGGTGGGGCTGGGGAAAAAGCGGCTGGCCTCCAATGGCATGTTAGCTTCGGTTCATTAATTAATGCGGCTTCTGTTAACACCAATCAATCATCGCTGATCTTGTTAGGTTTCGTAGGATTCTAGGGTTTGGATTTCTGCCTTATCCCGTTCACCCCTGCTTCGTTCAATCAACTTGTCATGTCCATCTTTAAAATGAAACATCAACTCATAAAAGGAATCATGCTATTTTTGATGAGTTGAAGATATACGGTACAGCCATATGCCTTGTAACTGAATTATTATTATTATTCATTGAAATCCATACAATTGGTATTGGAGCAAGCAGTCCTCAGTTGCAACTGGTTGAAATTTAATTTTTATTATAAAGACCTCTTAAATATTTCATAGAACAACATATTTGGTTAGAATTATAAAATTTTTCACTGAGTATTCTTAATTAATTATAATTTTTTTAACTAATTAACTAAACCCCATCAATTAATGGCTTTTTATCGGGTGACTTTGAGATTTTTGCTATAAATAACTAATTTTAACTGAGCAGAGAAAATATTAGAAGATGCAGTCATGACTACGTATGCCGAAAAAGGGGGGAACTATACCCGAGAAGGCATTATAAATATTATGGAATAACCTAAATATTTTATACAAACATAGGTCAAATGATTATTAATTCGGAATGAGACCATGTCAAGAAGGTAACCTACCCTTGAAATCCTAGCTGACTAACATGATCGTGTCTGGATCTTTCAACAAACACAAAACCAAACATTACATTAGCCTTTGTCTGTCTAGCAAGCTCCAAATATTAGCTTTCCCTCTTCATCAATAATAATTGCTTATTGTTGTGATGAGATATAAACCATATGTCTAATTTGAACTGTCCAAATTTAAATCTTTAAATTTATAATTTTAAATAATATATTCATTTTTTCTATGAAATGAAAGTTCAAATTTTTTTTTCTAAATTGTGAATCCGTTAAGAGAAAAAATTATTAAAAACAAAAAAAAAAGAATTTGAATGAGTTTGTTGATCCATTTGTGTTTTTTTCATGTTCATATTCAAGAAAACTCTACTTTGACAGATTGAGAAACCTTTTTTTTTATTGAAGAGAATTTTGTTCAAGACACTATCGAGTACTCAATGTGAGCATATCTCCTACAAAAAAATTTAAATTTTAATTCAACATGTTGTAAGAGACTAGTCTTTTATGCTGGACTCAAGTTGAGAAGTAAGCAATTTATGCAGCAATGTGTTTTAAAAGAATTATATCCCTTGGGCCTCATGCCGTCAACCCCATTCGACCAGATCTCACTCATTAAGCCCAAAATATGCAGATATTGCACAACAATGACGGCCCACATAGGGGCAGCTCCTTGTGCTTGTGTGGGTTGTTCGCACCAGCCACAAAAAGGTGATAAGAAGAGCAACCAACCTGTATCTGCAACGTAAACGTCCCTGTACCACCAAACAGTCTACAACTTTTTAGTTATATAGAAGAAGCCAGGTTGAAGCGAAACAGATGAAGAAGAAAAAGAATGGCAAAGGAACTTCACATAGTAATGCTCCCATGGTCTGCCTTTGGTCACTTGTTACCATTCTTTCAACTGTCCGTCGCCTTAGCCAAATTTGGAGTTCGAGTCTCTTTTGTGTCGACCCCGAAGAATATCGAGAGACTTCCAAATGTGCCTTCAAGTTTAGCTTCTCTAATAGCCTTAGTGAAGCTGCCACTGCCAAAACTGCCAAACGGAGACCTCCCAGATGGTGCAGAAGCTACAGTGGACGTTCCATTTGAGAAAGTTCCGCAGCTTAAAATGGCTTATGATCTCTTGCAACGCCCGTTTCAAAAATTTGTGGCAGATCAATCTCCGGATTGGATACTTATTGATTTCATGGCTCACTGGGTGCTTGGCTTTGCTCAGGAATCACAAATTCCAGTCATGTACTTCAGTATATTTTCTTCCGCCACGAATGTGTTTCTTGGTCCTCCAGAATATCTCACTGGAGAAGGTCGAACGAGTGTGAGGCCGTCCATGGAATCTCTGATGTCACCCCCACCTTGGGTCAATTTTACTTCTCCACTCGCACTAAAGAAGCACGAGGCCATTCCCCTTTTCAATAATTTTTTTGTTTCAAATGGAACTGCAGTCTCTGATGCAGAACGCCATGCAAAGATACTGCAGAATTGCCAAGCTATGTCGGTGAGGACATGCAGGGAGCTCGAAGGCCCTTACTTGGATCTGCTTATAGAACTTGTTGGGAAGCCAGTAATACCAACAGGTTCGCTCCCTGCAGAGAAGCATGAAAGAGCAGAACTCAGTGGTCAATCACCGAAGCATATTTTTGAGTGGCTGGATGAACAAAAGCCCAAATCAGTCGTGTTTGTTGGATTTGGCAGTGAGTGCAAGCTGAGCAAGGAACAGATTCAAGAGATAGCTTATGGGTTAGAGCTTTCTGATGTGCCATTCCTATGGGCTCTAAGAAGACCTGAATGGGCTGATGATGAAGCAGAGGTTTTACCTGTTGGGTTTGGTTCAAGAACAAGAGGAAGAGGGTTAGTGAACATGGGTTGGGCACCCCAAATGGAAATTCTGAGCCATGAATCGATTGGGGGTTCATTGTTTCACACCGGATGGGGCTCTGTGAATGAGAACTTGGGATTTGGACACAGCCTTGTGGCGCTACCTATGATAATTGAACAGGGTTTGAATGCAAGATTACTGGTAGACAGGGGTTTGGCGGTAGAAGTAGACAGAGCAGAAGATGGATCGTTTAGCAGGGATGATATAGCCAAGGCTTTGAGAATGGCTATGGTTTCAGAAGAAGGAGAGCCACTGAGGCTTCGTGCAAGGCAGATTGCTGCTGTTTTTGGAGATATCAAGTTTCAACAAGAACATTACATTGGCCAACTTGTTGAGTTTATGAAATCGTATAATAAATCTAAGTAATTATTCTCTACAAGACCAAACTCATCTGAAACTATAAAAAGACCGGATGCGTATCTGCCGTTCCTATTGTTTTTCATATTTGGATCTGGAATTTCTTGTTATGAGGATTCTGAATCAGCATCTCAAAATGGAAGAATGTATTGCGTCTCGTCATCTTGGGCTGGATTGTTCTGCAATGATTGATTCTATTATGATATGCTTCATGTAGTGTCTCCTTTCTTTCTTTTTTTTCCTGACACAAGTATCTTCTTACTAGCCGGTGAGTGGTCATCTTGACGCAGACTCAACAGTAAGAATTAAATGGACCATCTTTTGGGCCGCAGAAAGCCTCAGGCCTCTGTAAATTAAGCAAAATTGCAAAACCTTTTTCCTTTTAAATATAATCCTAAAATAAAAATAAAAACAAGTTGAGATTTTTTTATAAATTCTAATTATTTTTTTTTTACCCTTCTCGATTTCGAGGCAACGCACATCGAAGGGTGAATCGAACTCACATAAGAGTGTTTTTTATTAGCATTTTAAAAATGATTTTAACATATATAATAAAAATATATAAAAAAAGTTGTCTCGAGTTATGTAAAAAAAAAATTTTAGATTTACTTTTGGTATCCAAATTCTTCCATATCTAAACAAACAAATTGAAAAAAAAAATCGTGAGCAACAGATTAAGGGAGGCAAGAAATTAAATAAACTGTACAATTCACTTGTAGCGGTACTGTTTTTGTTTTGTGTTGATCATGTTGTGTTTCGGGGTGATATCGTCATTAGAAGGGAATCTGCACAGAAAATCTTGAACCAACCTGATTTATGTCTCTATCATTCCATAAACATCAAATTTAACTTGTCTCTCTTAATCCATGCTTTTTATTTACTGTGTCTGTGTGTGTGTTTTTTGTCTGTGACATTTGAAATATGTTTCTATAATTAAATAAAATGATTTCACCAGGGTCCTTGTATTAGAAATTGGTTTGGACCAAAATTCTCCCTCTCTTTTCGCGTTTTTTTTTCAATCGAAAGAAGTGGTTACAAAAATTAAGAATCCATTTAAAATAGCTTATAAATAGCTTTTTAATCATGTTTAGATAATACTATGAAAGGATTCTTGTCTCAACTTATATAAAATATATGTACAAGTGATGCCAAATAAGCACTAAAGAGATATTTGAATAGAAATTGAAAGGGTTGAATAGAAACCAAACCATAACTTTAAAATAATTTTATGATACGTGAAATAAATATATAAAAAACTTTATCTCAGTTTATAAAAAAAATTAAAAATATTTTTGTCTGAGGATGGGCTCAAGCAAAAAACTGGCGCCTTTAAAGATTTGGAGCCCTGACAAAATTAATCATACTTTGATTGGTAGTTTGACATTTTGACTAATACTGCCTCTACTCTTTAATATAAAAACTAATTGATTAATTTAAGTAGATTACATAAATTAATTATGTTAGTTATTTGTAATAAATATTTATTATCTTTTTTAAAATATCTTTGCTAATCAAATATATTAGCTAAAACTACCATGATTATAAGGACTACTTTGAGAAAAAAATAATAAATATAAGAAATAAAGTGAATTAGAAACTCATATCTATAATTAAAATAAAAGTCAAATAAACTTTTATATTAAGGATGGGAGGTGGCGGTAATTTTTAAAAAAAAAAATTTTGGGTCCCGTGGAAGTGACTTTTTGTGGGTAAGATTTTTTTCATTATACATTCCAATGTTGTAAAATGTACTTCATTTTATTTCACCTACAAGTCCAGCTCCTATTGTTATTTTTGAAATGCCTCTAAAAAACTACTAATAACACTCGTAATCTTCTTCTATTTGTGGCATAGAAAGAGAGTTTTTTTTTCATAATATAATATAAGTCATTTGAAATTTATTGTATAAATTTAAAATTTAATATCTAATTTATATTGATCTGTATACTTTTTTTTTGACTTCTCATTAAAGCATATATGCTGAATAATTGGCCAAATATATATATGCTTCTTTGTTATTATTTATAAGTCATTTCAACATTTTTTTATATAGACCAAGAAAAATGTTAAACTTTATTAAATCTCATTTAAAATCTAACAAGTTTTCAACTTTATTCCTATTTAATATACATCATAACTCATGTAACAAAGTCAGCACAATAATAAATGAAGAGTAAAATTGTACATTCATATAAAAAATTTCTTTCAAACCCTATAAATAAGATAAAAAAATATTCTCTCTTTACTCAATAAATAGGATTAGAGGAGTATATTGAATAAGAGAAAAGTTAAAAAGTTATTAAATTGTAAAATAAAGTTAATAAAAATTAGGATTGTCTTTTAATTTCGATAAATGGCAGCGTCTTATGAATAACATTGGAGGAGAAAGTTTATGTGCCAACTTATGCTAAATGACAAAAGTAATAAACGAATATTTAATACCACTTCTGATCTTTAATATAAGACCTAATTGACTAAGTTGAAGAAGTTAAGAAAATTAGTTAAATTAGTTATTTTTAATAAATAGGTATTGTCTTTTTTAAGATACCCTTACTAATTATATGTATTAATTAAAATTACCATTTGATGGAACCTTTAACATGTACAACTACTATAAGAACTATTTTGAAAAAATATATAAATATGAAAAACAAATAAATTAGGTTTTTATATTTAGGATTAAATTAAATATTAAGGAGAAATATCTACCAGTTCCAAGACATAAATGATTATCTACTAGTCAATTAATCAATAATCAATGCTCCTTACTGACTTCCACTGAACAGTTATTGGCCAAAAAAATTTAAAAAAAACAGGAAGAAGACGAAGTAGATTTATAAATCAAATAGCATGAGGTTGCAGCAAAACACATGAGGAAGAAAATGGCGAAGGAACTTCATGTGGTGATGCTTCCATGGTCTGCCTTTGGCCATATGATGCCATTCCTTCAACTTTCCATCGCCTTAGCCAAATTTGGAGTTCGAGTCTCTTTTGTGTCAACCCCAAAAAATATTGAAAGACTTCCCCAAGTCCCTTCCACTTTAGCCTCTCTCATAAACCTAGTGGGCTTGCCATTATCAGAACTGCCGAATGGCGACCTACCCGATGGTGCAGAAGCTACGGTGGACCTCCCATTTGATAAGATCCCACAGTTGAAAATGGCTTACGATCTCTTGCAAGACTCGTTTCAAAAATTTTTAGCAGATCAATCTCCAGATTGGATAATCATTGATTTCATGTCTCACTGGGTGATTGACATTGGCCAAGAACTAAATATTCCTGTAATGCACTTCAGTGCATTTTCTGCTGCTACAGGTGCATTTGCTGGTCCTCCAGAATATCTGACTGGGGAAGCCAGAATGAAGGTCAGGCCATCCATGGAATCTCTGATGTCACCCCCACCTTGGGTCAAATTTCCTTCATCAGTTGTAGAAAAGAAGCACGAGGCCTTCTATATGTTCAATTTCTTCTTTGGATCAAATGGCACCCAGTTCTCTGACGTAGAACGGCTCGCACAAATCATGAAGAATAGCCAAGCAATTTTGATAAGGACGTGTAGTGAGTTCGAAGGCCCTTACTTCGATCTGCTTAACGAACTTCACGAGAAGCCAGTATTAGCAACAGGTTTTCTCCCACCAGATGTGCCAGAAAGAACAAAATTTGATGATCAGCCATGGAAAGATATTTTCAAGTGGCTGGATGAACAAAAGCCAAAGTCAGTTGTGTTTATTGGGTTCGGCAGTGAATGCAAGCTCAACAGGGAACAAGTTCACGAGATAGCTCACGGGTTAGAGCTCTCAGATCTGCCATTTATCTGGGTTCTGAGAAAACCAGAATGGGCTAAGGACGAAACAGAAGTTCTACCTCCTGGGTTTGGTTCAAGAACCAGAGGAAGAGGGGTGGTGAGCTTAGGTTGGGCGCCCCAGATGGAAATCCTGAGCCACGAATCAATTGGGGGTTCATTGTTTCACGCAGGATGGGGCTCTATGATTGAGATTTTAGGGTTTGGGCATAGCCTTGTGCTTCTTCCGATGATAGCCGATCAAGGTTTAAACGCAAGATTACTGGTAGAGAAAGGCTTGGGTGTGGAGATAGAGAGAGCAGACGATGGATCTTTTAAATTAGCCATGGTTTTGGAAGAAGGAGAGCCGTTGAGGCTTCGTGCAAGGCAGGCTGCTACAATTATCAGAGACATGGAGCTGCAACATCAACACTACATTGGCCAACTTGTTCACTTCATGAAATCACATCAAACCAAGTAAACCATCGTTTGCAACAATAAGAGTGCCAGGTAAGAAGTGTTTGTTAGATTATTTTCAGATTCCATGCACTTGTCTTCGAGTCTTTTTACCGCTCTTAAGAATAAATTGGGTAGGAAACTGTATCAATCCAGTGGGCTTTATGCTTTTGATTGAGATATCAGTACTGTGTTTCTTGCTTTGTGCATTATTGCTGTTAAAAGAATGGTTGATAACAAAAAAGCTGTTTAGTATAGCTTTAAAAATTATTTATAAACACATTTTAAATAAGTTAAAATAAAATTTTTTTCACATATATATTGTATATTCTGTTTTAAAAAAAACTTAAAAACTAGTCGAAACGAATCCCAAGTTGTCGAACTTATCCAAAATTTAATGCTTCTCTTGCTCGATCTCCATTCATTTCACCCGCAAATTTCAGGCTTTAAGGGTGTGTTTGGATGAAACCAAACCGTGGTTTAGAAAAGTGATTCTGGAGAATAGATTCTGGAAAGAATAGATTTTATGAAAAAGTGATTTTCAGAAGTGAGAATGTTTGGATAGTTGTTATTAGAAGCACTTTTTATATATACAAATTACTAAAAAAAAGACATAAGTTAATATGATAATTACAGGAAAAATAGATTTTATGATATATTTTAATTTGAAGGAATAAAATTGTTAATAATATATTTTTTATTAACATAATTAATAATACATAAGATAATATAATTAATAATTAATTAATATGTATATATATTTATAAAATATAAGATTAAATATGTTTATAAAAAAAATAACAAGATACATATCCTATAAGCTCTCACACTCTCTCTTTTTTTCTCCAAAAACAAAAAAATTTTATTTTTTCCAAAACCATAGTTTTAGTTTTTGGGTGGGTGTTTGGATGATTTATTCTCCAAACCATGGTTTGGGGTGTCATCCAAACACAGCCTAAATGCCCTGTCAGGACTCAGCACCAGGCCCCACAAAAGAACGCGCGTGGCCTAGCAGCGCAATTTGACCAAAGTAATAAAGGATCATGTCCCACTCAATTAATCAATCAATATGTATCCCTAATTTATTTGCCAATTTAGAGGTGTTCGGATAGAAACCAAACCATGGTTTTAATAGTGTTTTTACGGTTTACGAAGTAAATATGTGGAGAAATTTATCTTGTTTTACGGAAAAGTGCTTCTGAAACCATGATTTTGAGGTTACCAAATACTCCCTTACTTAACAAGAATCTAAGGAATTACCCCTCCCTACTCAGGTGGTCAAAACGGGGAAGAAGAAAAAAACAAGATGAATTACCTCCTCACTGTCAATTTATCCGCCGCCCTGATCTTTGTTATAAACCATTTAAATTAGATATTATCATTATATCAATTCCCCAGCCTTTTACAGTAAATATGGGATTTCGAACACTGATATCGATAATACGTTGAGTTGTGAAGGGGGCCTTTTGAGCTCAAATAATACTCCCTCCACTTCTCTATATAAACTCTAAATAATTAAATCATGTTTGTCAAACTAACACTTAAAATTAATTAAAAATAATAAATGGGTTAGAAATATTTTTTTTAAATTTATCCTTATTTATTAAGAGAGTGAATAAGAGAGACAGTAAATAAAAAAATAATTAAAAAATATATGGGGTAATATTAATGAAAGAGAAATAGTATTAAATATAGTCAACTAAGGATAAAATAAAAAAAAAATTATAAATGTTCAGACAACCCCCTGGCGGACGTAACGGCATTATTAAATGCGATTATATATCTACCCCACTTGAGAGACCCAAACGGTTATCTATCCGTCAATTAATCTATTCACCTAGCTACCACCACAACTGTAATAACCAAACAATTATCAAAACCTGTTGGCAAAAAACCAAAAAAGAAAGAACCAGACCAGTAAATTAAGTAGCAAGAGGTTGTGTGACATAATGCAAAAGAAATAGTGAAAAATGAGTGGGTTATTCCCGTTTGACAATACCTTTTTTTTTTTTAATTCTTTAGTCCCAAAAAAAAATCTGGTTCTATTGTTATTTTTGAAATGCCTCCAACAGACACCCTAACACACATAATCCTGTTGTTGTATTTATAGCTTAACAAGGGTGTTTTTTTGTTTAACATAAGACAAGTCATTTTAATTTATTATATAAATGTAAAGTTTAATTTCTAATTATTGGTCTGCATACTTTTATTTTAAACTGAAAACAGTATATATATTAAATAGGAGTGAAGTTGAAAATCTGCTTTTTAAGATAACATTAACAAAAAGTAATAAAAAGGTAAGAAACATATTTTTATTTTTAAATATATTTTTATAATAAATAAAAAATAGAATAGAATATATGAAAAAATATAATAAGAGAAGGTGTGGCACAGAAAGAATAAATAATTAAAAATAAAATTGTAGGAAAAAAATCTTAAATTTTGAGACAAATTGAAATTTATAAAAGGTTCTACGCTATTAAATGTGTCATTTTACTGCATCTCTCTGTCTTTTTCGTCTATGACATTTAAAATATGTTTTTATAATTAAATGAAATGACTTCACATATGATTGGTATAAATAATGTCACCAAGTTGATGGTAAAAAAAAATAATAATGTCACCAAGTTTTATTAGTATGGGTGAATTATCTTAGGACCCATTATTTAGCGCGTGAGGAAGTAAATTACGCGAGAGGAGAAAGTTGATGACGTACGTTAAACGACAAAAGTATTTAATAGTACCGACACGTTTTGAGACAGAAACGATTATCAACCCGTCAATTACTCAATAATCAATGCTCCTTACTAACGGCCACCGAACAGTTGTTGGCCAAAAGAAATAAGAAGGAGGAGGAGAAGAAGAAGAGCTAGGCTTATAAATCAAATAGTAAGTGGTTGCAGCAAAACACACGAAGAAGAAAATGGCGAAGGATCTTCATGTGGTGATGCTTCCGTGGTCTGCCTTTGGCCACATGATGCCATTCTTTCAGCTTTCCATCGCCTTAGCCAGATTTGGAGTCCGAGTCTCTTTTGTGTCAACCCCAAAAAATATTCAAAGACTTCCCAAAGTCCCTTCCAATTTAGCCTCTCTTATAAACCTGGTGGGCTTGCCATTACCAGAGCTGCCGAACGGAGACCTGCCAAAAGGTGCGGAAGCTTCAATAGACATCCCATTCGAGAAGATCCCACAGTTGAAAATGGCATACGATCTCTTGCAAGACTCGTTTCACAAATTTGTGGCAGATCAATCTCCAGATTGGATAATCATTGAGTTCATGTCTCACTGGGCGATAGACATTGGCCAAGAACTAAATATTCCAGTCATGTATTTGAGTGCGTTTTCTGCTGCTACAACTGCATTTGTTGGTCCTCCGGAATATCTGACTGGGGAAGCCAGAACGAAGGTCAGGCCATCCATGGAATCTCTGATGTCACCCCCGCCTTGGATCAAATTTCCTTCATCAGTGGCAAAAAAGAAGCACGAGGCCTTTCATATGTTCAAATTCTTCTTTGGCTCAAATGGCACCCAGTTCTCTGATGTAGAACGGCTTGCAAAGGTCATGAAGAATAGCAAAGCAATTTTGTTAAGGACATGTAGTGAGTTTGAGGGCCCTTACTTGGATCTGCTTAAAGAACTTCACGGGAAGCCAGTGATGGCAGCGGGTTTTCTCCCACCAGAGATGCCTGAAAGAACAAAACTTGATGATCAGCCATGGAAAGACGTCTTCAAGTGGCTGGATGAACAAAAGCCCAAGTCGGTTGTGTTTATTGGGTTCGGCAGTGAATGCAAGCTCAACAGGGAACAAGTTCACGAGATAGCTCACGGGTTAGAGCTGTCAGATCTGCCATTTATATGGGTTCTGAGAGAACCAGAATGGGCTAAGGACGAAACAGAAGTTCTACCTCCTGGCTTTGGTTCAAGAACAAGAGGAAGAGGGGTGGTGAGCTTAGGTTGGGCGCCCCAGATGGAAATCCTGAGCCATGAATCAATTGGGGGTTCATTGTTTCACGCAGGATGGGGCTCTATGATTGAGATTTTAGGGTTTGGGCATAGCCTTGTGCTTCTTCCGATGATAGCCGATCAAGGTTTAAACGCAAGATTACTGGTAGAGAAAGGCTTGGGTGTGGAGATAGAGAGAGCAGAAGATGGATCTTTTAACAGACAAGACATAGCAAGAGCTTTGAAATTAGCCATGGTTTTGGAAGAAGGAGAGCCGTTGAGGCTGCGTGCAGGGCAGGCTGCTGCAATTATCAGAGACATGGAGCTGCAACATCAACACTACATTGGCCAACTTGTCCATTTCATGGAATCATATCAAACAAAGTAACTATCGTCTGCGAGGTAAGTGGTGCCTGTTTCTGCGCGTACAGATATTCTTTTATTAAAAACATCTTATCTGAGTTACTGTTGGATATAAATATTGGTGCCTCTTCTTAATTCAAACTTTGATTTCTCGTAAAGGATGTCACTTTCTATACACTCGTCTTGGCCCTTTTACCTCTCTAAGAATGAATTGGGTAGGAAACTATACCAGTCAAGTGGACTGTATGATTTTGATTGAGATCTCTATGTATTGTGCCTCTCGCTTTATGCATTATTACCATAAAAGTGTTGTTGACAAAATATTTGGGAGTGTTTGGATAATCCAAAAAATATTTTTGAAAAATACTTTTTCATAAATAAAAAAAAACTACTCTACATCTTTATTTCATATATTTTTAAAACCATAATTTTACTTCAACCCAAATATCTCTTTTATCTATTTGAATGGTTGTACTTATTTCACCGAAAAATTTCAGGTTCTAAATGCCCGTCCTCAGGACTCAGGAACAGACGAACGCCCGCGGCCTAGGCCTAGCACCGCGCTACGACCGAAGTAATAAATGATTGTGTCCCACTCAGTTCACAAGAATATGGTACAAGAATTACCTCCTCACCGTCAATTTATCTAGCACTTATAATTTATTTGCAATTTAGTTTCATATATTAAGAAACATATTGAATTAATAAAAAATTTTAAATTTACTTTTGTTAGTAAGATATTTTTTTATATATTTACAAATCATTATCACATCTTTCTTATTTTTTTCAACGAGAATTTAATAAGAATAAAATTAAAAAATTATCATTAAATATTTCATAAGTGATTTATATTTAAGACAAAAAAAATTTCTAAGTAGCTTATGATAAAATTTTTCTCCTCGTGTAAATATACCAAACCAGTGACAAAATTTTTGGGATGCTTAAGCTTGTGGGAGCGGCATTCATCTCATTCGTCATTATTAGTCAATATAATAGAACATGCGTAATTAGATATATTACATCCGGTCTTTAATATAAGATCCTGTTTGATTTTTGTATTGATCCTAAACATAAAACCCTAATCCATTTTATCTCTCATATTTACTCAATTTTTTCAAGATAATCCTTCTAATAATTATAGTTTTAGCCAATATACTTTATTAATAAGGATATTTTAAGAAAGAAAACACCTATTTATTATAAATAACTAACTTAACTTCTTTTCTTAATTTTTTCAAATTAGTGAACTGACTTTTATAATTAGGATCAGAGCTAATATTATCCTATCAAATCCCCATGCTTGTGTTCCATCTTTTATAGTACTAGTACAGTAAACATGGGATTTCGAGAAACCGAACTGTTATATCCATAAATTGTGGAGGGGGTGCTTTTTAGCTCAAATAATAAAAAGTGATCAGTATGGATGGGGGTTAATTAGTTTTGCAGTTATTTCTTCAACGTCCCATAGCCCAGGCTTTGCCTGAAATGACACAGACCCAATGACATACGTAACAGGATACTAAATCCCATTATCTGTGGGTCAATCAATCAATAATTAATCAATACACCTAACCACCGCCACAACAGAAGCCAAACAATTACCAAGACCTGTTGGAGGAAAGCCCGAAAAGAAATAACTGCTCCTCCATCTAATTTAATTTTTTGAATTAGTTTGTTTTTATTTATAAAACATTCTTTGTGTTTATCTTTTTTGCCTGACATTCTTTGTGTTTATCTGAATAATAAATATATTTTTATCTATTTTATTTTTAATTAATATACCCTTTTATTATCTTTTTTTCATATATTTTTTTATTTTCTTCTCACTCACACCTACCCACTTATAAATAAGGCATATTTAAAAAAAATATTTTTAACATATTTATTATTTTTAATTTTAACAGTTTTCTTAAACTACATAATTTAATTAAGTGGACCTTATAACAATGGATGGAAATTTTTCTTAAATAGCCCTTTTAGTGAATATTAATCCAACTTTCAATTAAAACACATTTAGTATTAACACAATTTAAAATGTGAGTTTAATATTGCCTCTGATCCTGTATATAAGCTTCAAATAACCAAGTCACATTTAACGAACTAATAATTAAAATTAGTTAAAAATAATAAATATATCAGAAATATATTTTGTTTTCTAAATTTGTCTTTATTTGTTAAGAGAGTAAATAAAAGAGGCAATAAATGAACAAATGATAAAAGAAAATATATGGAGTTAATATTAATAAGAGAGATGAAATATTAAATACAGTTAACTAAAAACAAAACAGGAAAAAGAGTAATAAATGCCGAGACAAATTGAAAAATAAAACTTATATTTCGGATCAAATCCTTCTTCAAAAGTGAAGCTTTTATATATGATTGGAGGGAGTATTAGAACACTGGCCAACTATTAGAAAGAATCCCTTAACACATAGGAGTAATAAACTACACACTGTGTGAATTGTCTAATAATTCAAGCCAAGCTAATCATCTTTAAAAGACCATACTCGTATGCAGCTATAAAAAAAGAGCAGATGCGTGTATGGAGTTCATTGTTTTTGTTTTGTATTCTTCATCTTGTGTTTCTGCCTCTTGTCATATAAATACTATAATTGTGAATTACCTCTTGTCATATTTATATCTGTAAGATTGGCTCCTTCTGAAACGGAGACAACTATACATTTTTCAATATTTGAAGAGAGTCTTATAAGTAAAATCATGAGAGACACACTTCTAAGCCCCAAGAAGCATAAACAGACTCGGACCCAGCAATGTCGACTTACACAGCATTCTGAGTGGCACAGAGCCCAGATCCTGCAGCCGTCTAACTATCTGTAACGCCCATAAAAGTTTATTTTATGCTTCTATCAACCGTTTTTTTTCTGGTCAAAAAAAAAAAAAACCGTTTTTTCCCTAAGTATAAGTGTATGCGTGTTTTTTTTTCTTTTAACTCGGAGACAACTATGTTCAAAACACTGTCAGAACACATTTTTTATAAAGATTCAAATATTAATTCGTTTTATTTTATCAATCACATAATCATGTTATGTTGATTGTTCAATGAAAGGAAAATTTTAGAGAAAATGACAGTTGAATTTTCAAAAATCCAAAAAGATCATTTAAATTTGAGAAATTCCAAATTAGCCCTAATGATTAGATAGAAATTTTAAAATATTGGTGGATTTATAATGTTGTCTTTTATTTTTTAAAAAAAAACTCAAGTTACCATCGGTTGCTAGCAATAGATACTAGAGCTTTGGCAACTGACAGCTTTGCTTGGAGATTTTTTCAATATTCGTAACATGATTGATAACTCTTACAATGATATTCACAACTCCATCATCATTATTTATCATGTGTTTTTTGGATTTTCAAATAATTGTAACATAATTATCAACTCTTGTAATAATATCTCATTAATATTCCTCTTGTCCTATTTATAAGGCACTTCCAATAAGTTTCACACAGACCAAGAAAAACTTTAAACTGCATTAACTCTTCATTAAAATATAGCAACTTTCCAACTTTACCCCTATTTAATATATACCTTTTTCAAAAAAATAACTACCTACATTATAATAAATGAAGGATAACATGGTAAAATCATAGTAAAAATTTAATGTGGTGACTTATAAATAGGATAAAAAAAACCTTCTCTCTCTGTCTTATAAATAGGACCAAAGGAGTATATGAATATGATAAGTGTTTGAGTTATGATAGAAATAATTATTTTTTTAAACGACTTGTTGGTTGGAAGAGGGCATTAATTCCCACTGGGGAGTGGCAATTCATATGTGGAAAGCACCGATATGTGTTCTAAACAATTCATATGTGCCACCTCATAGTGGAATCTTCTCCTCGAAAGTGACAACTGCTCCTCCTCGTGCCCTAACTTTGCGCTGTTGTAATCATTGCCTTCTTTTTGGTTGCACAAAATTATACTCACTCACCCACCATTTTGTATTCCGTGGCCAGGAGGAAAAAAAACGACATTTTTGTGTTCAAAATCCAATTTTTCAGTTGAGCATAGCAAAAAGAGTTATTACCTTATAATATAAGGAATTAAAATTTGAATTCTTATTGAGAAGTATGCACAACAATATCTTCTGCAGAATTGTCTTTCATAAATATTAAAAAAAAACCCAACTTTTATTTAAGTCCAGCAATATTCAAATATTAGATATCTGTACTGAACAAGTGACGTTGATAAAAATATATTATGATATGAGATTTTCAACTAACATTTTTCAATTTGTTGGTAATTTATAAATAATTCGAAATTACTCAAATTTTTAATATGAAATTCTCAAGCGGAAAAAAACAAGAAGAAACTGGCCAGGCACGATGATCCCCCATTTAAGTGGATCAAACTTGCTAAATCCATGCCCACCAAACCCAACAAATTGTGACCTTTTTCTATCATGCTTTAACAAGATATAAAAAAAGAAAGATTTAAATCTCACTAATGTTATCCCTATTTAACATATACTCTGTATTTTAATCACTTGTTTTCATGAATAGTACAGTTGTATATTTATATAAAAATGTAATGGTGTGATTTATAAATACAAAAAAAAATAATTTCTGCCTTAAAAATAGAATAAAAGAAGTGCTCTTTAATAAAAATAAAAGTTGAATTAATCACAAATCATTCAAAGATTGAAATCTTTGCAATTTTTGGTACTCATCTTCCCGGCACCTGAGGATTCAGTATCATGAACATAATATCCCCACAACTCACCTGGCTTTGTGAGTTTCTGCAGATTTAGTTGGAAACTGCCTTGCCTGGGTTCGTTTGTCTCCCCGTTGTTGTATTTTTCCTTTATTAGGTCATTTCAATGTTTTTTATACAATAACGAACACATTTTTTTTCACTTTCCTTTATTTTCTATCTTAATCGAAGTAATAGAATTTATATTCCTACAATTAAGCTTTTGCGGGGGAATATATTAATTTAGACACTTCATCATGTAATTTATCTTCTTGAGGAAGTGTTTGATACTTTTGTTGGACTAGAAATACATGGATTAAACGTTTCTAACATAAGTGAATTTTATTTAAAAATATATTAAAATTTTAATGTAAGTAATTCCCAAAAAAAAAAGGCCTAAGAAAAAATAAATTGAAAAATAAAGAAGAAAAGAAAAGTGCAGGGAAAACATAATTTTCAAATTATTTAATAATTATAAAAAATGAATTCAAGGTAAATATTTGGAATAAAAATCAAGTTGAAAATAAAAGGTGCGTGTAAATAATATTATCCGTAAACAGTGAAATAAAAACAAAAAAAGGGGCAGGAGAAGAAATGAAAAAGTTTTGTTTTGTAATGACGAGTGAATCAAAATAAGTTTGACAGGATATTAACTAAATGATTATGATTATAATTAAAATAAAAATCATAAATACTGTGAATGCTATTTTAAGGTTTTACGTCTTACAAAGTTAGGTTACCATTGCCATCGGAGATGCAGGAACAACTAGAACGGGACATACTTGGCATTGGAATCCCAAGGAGGATTAGCACTGGTTAATTTCGTGTTGTTTTATTTTGCGCCTCTTTATTTCACCGAAAAAAAAAAAAAAGTTAGGTTACCATTTTGAATGTGTTTTTATGTTCTTAGCTTTTATTTTTTGGCCAAGTTTGTATGTTTTTATAAAGATGCGAAGTAACGACTCAACCCCTGCAGACTTAGGGAGTGTTTGGATAGAAACCAAACCATGATTTCAGAAGTGCTTTTACGGATTATGAAGTAAATATGTGGAGGAGGTTGCTTCGTTTTACGGAAAAGTGATTCTAAAACCGTGGTTTTGAATGTTTGGCTCTCCTTTATACTGTTTCTAAACATGGAACCAGTGCATTTTACACGTTACCATATTCTACAAGTGTCACACTAAATAACAAATAATAATGGTACTTTTTCAGTCCTTAATATAAAACCTAATTGTGGAGTTGATTTTGGTCATAAATATAAAACCTATTTCTTATATTTATCAATTTTTTCCTAAATCATCCCTATTGATACCCCCTTAACCATAATTAAGTATGAGAGAGAGGGAGGACATAATGAAGATGATTAAGGTATTTTAAGAAAATTTATGATAGTTAACTAACTCACCTAATTTCTTTAATCTAATCAAATTAGTTAAATATAACTAACTTACCTAATTTTCTTAATCTAATCAAATTAGTTAAACATGTTTTATATTAAAAACCGGAGGAATACTATTTCTTTTGTTTCACGTGCTGTATCTTGTTTATTTTATGAATCAACTTCATTCCAGTTTCAGCTTCCATCTTCCATAAAAAAAGTTATAGAATTAATAGACGCTCTTGCTTCTAAACTATCCTAAGAAGCACTTGTTAGTTGTTACAATATGATAATATCAATATATAATTAATATAATACTCCTCCAGTCCTTAATATAGGACATAATTGTTAAGTTAATTTTGGTCCTAAATATAAGACTTATTTTTTATTTTTATCGATTTTTTTAAATTACCCCTATGTATATTCAACCATAATTAAGTAAGTGAGGGAGGAAGACATTAAAAAAGATAATTATAGTGTTTTAGAAAAATATGTCATATTTTTTATAATTAACTAACTTACCTATCTTTCTTAATCTAATCAAATTAGTTAAATGATATATACTGAGCAAAAGGCTGCTAAACTAGCTAAATCACGTATATTCATGACTAATCATATATGCACGCATACGTTTTAAATGTAATTTACTGGTGGGAGAATTTTTGGCCATAAATGTAAGTTACTTGTGGGAGAATTTTACCCTTATTTGAAAAGGAAAAAAAAAAAAAAAGAGACACGAGGACAATTAGTAAATGTGGAGGGAGATAAAACTTTAATAAAAATAAAATTTAAAATTTTATTAATTTAATGTACTACTTAGTATGCAGGAATGTGGTACAAGTAACTTGTATTAGGAATTATGAAACCAGAAGAGTTTAGGAGAATTGAAGCCCACGAGCTTAGTAAAATTTACACCTTTGTTATCCGTCTCTTCAGCATAATAAATCCTGTAACGGAACCATACACGAGGAAGGAACTAGCAAGTCTCTTGAGTTTAATATGAATTTTTAATTCATAAAACCATCAATGGCTAACTAAATTGAAGAGAACTCCGACAAAAAAGAAAAAAATTTGAAGAGTTTCCGGTTTCACAGCCATGTTCCCCATTAAAGTTTTGTGCTGTAGACATGTAAATGATACATTAAGCATGCGTTCTTCTCAATTCTAACACCTTCCTTCACTTTTCGCATCCCCTTCAATTACTTTCCTCTGTTTTCCAGCAAAAATTTCAGCCTTTTTTCCTTCATCACTTTTATTCTTTTCCTCATACCAAGCATCCTTCTCCTTCCTTCTAAGTTCTAACCCGAGTTCAACTCCAAGCTAAGCATCGTCAGTTTTACACTTTTTTTTTTTTTTTTCCAATTCCAGAATTTTAAAATCCCCTTTTAGTATAAAAAGATTTTTCGAGGGACACAGATTTAGAATTCTCGTTACACTCAAAGCCTCCGGTGTTCCCATCTAGGCTGCTGCTTCTACCTCACCTCCCATCTTCGTCTTCTTCTTCCTCGACATCTTCTCTGTGACGGGGTTTTAGATTCTTGTAATGTGCAAGTTATGATCAAGTTACTTGTCGGTTTATATTCTGGTTCGGGGGCTTTTCTTTGTCTTCGGGTATGTTCACGACGATGAAGAACAATTTCAAAGATTCTGAGCACTTCCATCTCTCATGGACCTTCTCCAAGCTGATCGCCTTCTTCTTTCTCTTAGTCTCTGTCTCTTACCTCATCTACTCCCTTCGATTCGTTACCCATTCTTACGACTGCGAACAGCAAAACCCCCTGCCTTTAGTTAGCCATGTCCAGATATCACCTTCGATCGATGACGCCATTGAAGAGATCCCAAAACCCTCCGATGAAACCAATATTTCTCACATCGTCTTCGGAATTGGAGCTTCAGCGAAGCTATGGAAGCAGAGGAAAGAGTACATCAAGCTCTGGTGGAGACCTAAACAGATGCGAGGCATCGTTTGGCTCGATCGGAAGGTAGACACCGACTCTAAGGACAAAAACCTGCTTCCCCCATTGAAGATTTCTGAGGACACCGCTAGGTTTTCATACAAAAACCCTAAAGGGCACAAATCAGCGATTCGAATCTCGCGCATCGTTTCCGAGACGCTTAGGCTCGGGAATACGGAGGGCGTGAGGTGGTTCGTGATGGGGGATGACGACACTGTGTTCGTGACGGAGAATTTGGTGAAGGTCTTGCGGAAATACGATCACAATCAGTTCTATTACATTGGGAGTTCGTCGGAGAGTCACTTGCAGAACATATATTTCTCTTACAATATGGCTTATGGCGGCGGTGGATTTGCGATTAGCTATCCTTTGGCAGTGGCTTTGGAGAAAATGCAGGATAGGTGTATCCAGAGGTACCCCGGTTTGTACGGCTCAGATGATCGGATTCAGGCGTGTATGGCGGAGCTCGGTGTGCCCCTCACCAAAGAGCGAGGATTTCATCAGGTTAGTATTGAATTCTGGAATTCTTGTTTTTAAAATTTTCTGCTCCGGCTTGATTGATCTTATTCTTGTCCGTTTCCTTTTCCGGGTGATTCCTGAGAAAACGGAGGAAAACAGGCGAAACGCATGACTAATGATTGAGATGGGTAATTAAGTAGAAAACAATTTTGAATAAAGCAGGACAGTTTTTAGGATTCTTGCTCATTCTAATAACATAGCATTATTAATTTATTATCATTGTTGTTATCAATAATCAATCAATTTGGGCAAAAAAAAAAAAATCAATAATCGATCGCAATTAGCAAAAGCTTGGTATAGGCATGGGATGTACACGCCCAGTACAATAATTTGCTTTTGGGAAGGCGGAACTGAACACTAACACCAGAAAATCCAAAACTCAAGCATCCAAATACTAGCACATCGGGGGCTTAAAATTCGGTGGGAAAAATGCTCGCGTCCTTACTGCCTATAGCAGCGGGTATGTTAGTAAATTAGTGAGCCAGACTGGGAACCGGGGCTAAAATCAATATCAGTGGGTTGATTATTTGTGTTGCATGTATGAATGGCTTTTGCGGTGAGTGACAAAGTGTTTGTTTATGTTTGGTTGAATCATGATTTGTTGACCTAATAAGCCTTCCACTAATGTTCGCACTCGAAAGTGAGAGTTTCTGCCCAGGAACGTTTAACAAGGATATTAATTTTAAAACTGGGCACTAAATAGAACTCGGGTTGTTTATTAGTCAACCGGGGGAGAAAAAGATAAAAATAGAAGTGGGGTTTTTCAATTAGAAACGCGTCTAGATGATTCAATGGAGAGTCAAACCTAAATGTAATCTCTAGGCTGGAAAGAAATGTTGTCTGGAAATGGACAGGTGTTAGAAATATGTGGCGCAATGTGTTCTGTGTCTTTAAAATGCGAGCTGTCCGGTAGTAATGGCTGGATCCCACAGGAAAGCCTTTTCTGTATCAAACATTTGCGAAGATGGAGAGCGCCAACGATCGGCTCCGTGATTGCGATTTTTGGGAGGCTCACCGCCACCTCCACTGTCTTCATCATGGTCTCCTGTTTTTAGTCCGTACTCTATCAATGTCAATATTTAATATTAAATCTCAAATCGACCTGTCAAATATATACATGCGTTGCTTTCCATTAGTTTGTTATTTTAAAAATACACTACAGTCTTTTGTGGGTTTTTCCCATACATCTAATCAATGTTACGTGTCGTTTTGTGTTTTGCCTAGTTTGATGTGTATGGGAATCTCTTTGGGCTTCTGACAGCCCATCCAATTGCCCCGTTGGTCTCGCTTCACCACTTGGACGTGGTTGAGCCCATATTCCCTAATGTGACCCGGGTCCAAGCCCTGAAGCGGCTTCAGGTGCCCATGAAGCTCGATCCGTACGGCCTCATCCAGCAATCCATTTGCTACGACAAAAAACGAACCTGGACCGTATCCGTGTCTTGGGGCTACGCCGTTCAGATATTTCGGGGCACCTTCTCGCCCCGAGAAATGGAGATGCCTGCGAGGACCTTCCTGAACTGGTATAAACGGGCCGACTACACCGCCTACCCCTTCAATACCCGACCCGTGTCACGCCATGTTTGCCAGAAACCGTTTGTTTATTATTTATCTGGTGCAGTCGCTCTGAATAATGTGACGAAGCTTGAGTATGTAAGGACCGAGTCGAACCCAGAATGCCGGTGGAAAATGGAGGATCCTTCGCAAATCCAGAGAATCGAGGTCTATAAGAAACCCGACCCGCATTTGTGGGACAAGGTAATTTTCATTTCCCGTAACTTCTTATGCTGCTACTTCTCAACTGTGTTTATAGGTATAATTTTTTTTTTTTTAATTTCTTTGTTGGGTGAATGATGGGATAAAACTTGAAGTAGAATATTTAGGTTTTCACTACTTCAATGTCAGTTTCTGTTAATAAACAATCTACATAATGTATATTTTCCTTAAATGTTCCAAGTGATATGGATACTTTTGTCTTTCAAAAATTTATCTGTTCGTTAGGGAAGGGCAAGGTTTTTGAGTGTTAATGGGATAGGTTTTGATTTTCGGTATGTTGTGCAGTCTCCAAGAAGGAATTGTTGCAGAGTAGTGCCGACGAAGAAGAAAGGAACAATGGCGATCGACGTGGGAGAATGCCGAGAAGACGAAGTTGTTGAACTGTAGGCAGATAGATATATGGGAAACAACGCACCTTTGCTGTTTCCGAAGCGAAGAGGGCAAAAATCCTTTGCTGTATTCATATATTCATATCTCAATGATTCTCTTTTTCATTTCCTCCCTCCCTATTTTTCTGTTCAAATTGAAATCAAAATTCTTTTTAGATCTTGTTAAGGGAGAGAGTGGAACAATGAAAATGAGGATGACAGAGTAATGCAAATGATTCCCATGTTTTGTGGTGGGTTTACTCATTCAGGTGAGACACTGACACATTCCTCAATCCGTATGTCTTGTCTCTTGCCACTCTTCTTTGTGGTCTTCCCACAGCATTCAATAATTAGAACAAGTTTTATGAGAATTAAAAAAACCTTCAATTAATGGTTCAAATTCAATTGCATTTCTAGTCTTTTAATTTAGTTACGGAAAAATCGCTAATTCTAATTAATATGATTGTTTCTTCAGCCATCGAATCAATAATACAGATTGTATCAAAAAAAAACAGGCAAATGTTTCTTGTTTCAAAATTTATCTTTGTAATTAATAGAGTTAAATCAAATTGCAATGTTTGCCCAAAAAAAAAAAAAAATCAAGGTGCAATCATATGTAGTTAAAGTCAGCATATTCAATGAGAGGATTTTAATCATAACATTCCCGACTTAAAATAGAATATTTTAAGCTGAAAATGATTTAAAAATAACGACATAACTAAAATATATTATAGATTTCTTAATCCGTCCACATTTGGTATATTCTCTTCATAGTTCTCTCTCTTATTCCATAATTAAAATTTATAATAATATGATTAAAAATTATTATTTAATATTATTTTGGACCTCGGAGTAAAAACAATTTTTCCAGAAAGTGACAGAAAAAAATTTAATTTCTTTAAATTCAAAAACAAAAAAATAAATATAAACACGCAACCGTTCCGGTAATCATTCAAACTAAACGTTGGCCCAAAAAAAAGAGTAAACTAAATCGACACTATACGATGGCCCAACAAAAACAAAAAGTCAACAGTATTCTTTCCAGCTTGCAGAAGCGTGTGGGACCCACACGCATTGACACGATGACGCTCTGAATCAGCCTTCGCCCCAACGCCCTCAAGTTGCTGCTAATCCGAATGTAGGAAAGTCATCTGGCTCATTTTCGGTCTTCGCCTTCTGAATCCTCTCGAGAACCTCTCAGTCATGGAGTTTCTGCAGGTGAACCTCGTATCTTGTTTCCTCTTGCTTTGTTTCCGCACGCTTTCCGTGTACTCCCGCCTCTTCTCTCCCGTCGACAACTATCTAATCGATTGCGGTTCGGCGGCCGTGAGCACCATAGACAACCGTCGATTCGTCGGCGACCTCTCCGGCAACGACTCGCCCCTATCGTTTTCTGGTCGCTCGATTTCAATAAGAAATGAAAACCCTGTTCCGGGTTTGGCCCCAGTCTACCGCACGGTTAGGATTTTCAGAAGCCCTTCGAAGTATGCATTCCCTATCAGAGACAAAGGAACCCACATGGTACGTCTTCACTTTAATTCATTTAATTCTCCGGGATTCGATCTGGGTGATGCTCAATTTCACGTTTTGGTCGACGAGTTTATCGTTTTGAGCAATTTTAGCCGAGTTCGTTCTGAAAACCCTAGGATTATGGAGTATCTAATAAGGGTCGATGCTGAAAAGCTTGTGATAATGTTTGTTCCAACTGAAAAATCAAAATTTGCATTTGTGAATGCTATTGAGGTGATCTCTGCTCCGAAAGACCTCGTACCTGATACTGCACAATATGTGAGTTCGAAGAATGTAGTGGATTTTGATGGTTTAAGCAACCAGGCACTGGAAGTTGTCTACAGGTTGAATGTTGGGGGTCCTAAAGTCACTCCATTTAATGATTCCTTGTGGAGGACATGGATGCCTGATGGTAAGTTTTTCAAGCCCAATTATGCATCTCAAAGATTGTACTTTGGTGGTCGGATCAAGTATCAAAGAGGAGGTGCTAGCCGTGAAGTTGGACCTGACAATATGTATAACAGTGCTCGGCTGATCAAAAGCAAGAATGCTTCTGTTCCTATGGTCAATATGACATGGCAATTTCCAGTCATTGGGGGTTATAAATATCTTGTTCGGATGCACTTCTGTGACATTGCTAGTATTTCGATTGGGTTGCTGTACTTCAATGTTTATGTCAACGGGCATTTAGCGTATGCAGATTTGGATCTCTCTGGCATTACAGGTTTACTGGCTTCCCCCTTTTATGCTGATTTTGTTGTTGATGAAGACAGCTTAGGGGCTTTGAGTGTCAATATAGGACCCTCAAATAAAAGCATTCCATATGTGGTCGATGGTATCTTGAACGGAATTGAGATTTTTAGGTTGAATAATTCTCACAATAGTCTTGATGGAGAGGATTGTGCTGGTTTCGTGCTGAAGAACTGGTCAAGGGGAAATTCAGGGCTTTTCCTTACTTTGGTGGCTGCCATATGCATTGTATTAAGTATATCCTTATTGATTCGTAGGAGGATAGTTGGGTCAGGGGATTCCTTCCCATGGTCAAGGTTGCCGGTGGACATTTCAGATCACCATGTTAAGATAAGCGGTCTTCATTCAGAAAGCAAATAAGATGCGCGTAAAATATCTACAGATCCTGGTGAATAGGACTAGAAGGAGGAGGACGAGGAAAAGAGAGACGAGGCAGTGCTTTGTTGCGCCATAAGCCATTAAAGAATGGTGGAATTTGTAAGCCTGAAAATGTAACACTGCTTTGAACCTTAATTCTCTGCTAAAACGTACCCTAATTAGGGAGGTATCACCCTGTGTCTAAATTGCTCTACTTGTGTATAATATGTCATGCTGTAAGGCTTAACTCTTTTGCCTCTGCTTTGTATCCGTTGTCTGAAGCTGTATGCATGTATCTTGGTTGTAACTTTTGAAAATAGGGATATTATATCCCTCAGACTGTTAGTTCAAATAAATTTTTTGTTACCCTCGTTCAGAATCTGGCAATTGAATTTTCATTTTTCATAATATTTATGAAGAGTAAGCACTATTTAGAATCTTGCTTGAGAAGTATGATTAGTTTATATCATATCTACAAAAACTGAATTTTGTCTCTCTCTTCTTTTCTCCAAAATATTGTTATTCTTAAAGCAGATCAACTTATATTGCAGTAAATAAAAAATATACAAAGCCCAAAATAATACTCTATTAGTCTTTAATATAGAACTTATTTAACTAATTTGATTAAATTAAGAAAGTTAAGTAAGTTAGTTAATTATAAGAAATATAACATGTTTTTCCGAAAATACCATAATCATATTTCTTAATATCCTCTTTTCGTCTTCTGTTTGATTATAGTTGAGGAAGTATCCATATGGGTAATTTAAGAAAAATTGATAAATATGAGAAATATGTCTTATATTTAGGATTAAAATCAACTCAATAATTAGGTTCTATATTAAGGACCGGAGGAGTAATGTCATATGGGGCCAACAGATTCTTTTTTGGCCAAAATATTGGGCCAACAGATGAACACGGCAAAAACCAAACAAACACAAGAAACACACTGAGATTGATGATGATGACTGAGGACTGAGAACAGAATGGGAGAAGACGTGAAAAATGAAAAATCTGTAAGTTCGACAAACAAATTAAAGTTTTCTTGCAAATATTCTTATTCTACTGGTGCTCATTTAATGTTGAGAGAATTTCAGTAAAGGCTCTCTGTAACATTTTTTTTTAGAAATCAGGACCAAAGAAATTTACGAAAGGAATTTACAATTACACTTGAGGCTGCTAGGACTAAAACATAATTGTGGTAAATAACTGGTTGTAGTTATAATACTTGATCACTAGCATTCTTTAAACTAGCTATAATTGTCTGTATATTCTCCACACACACAAGCAGAGGAAAAGGACACTGAGTTTGCATATAGAAGGAGACTTTAATTACAAGTGATAAAAGTTCCCCAAGAAGATAAACGGACATATGATATTGCTTCACGAATCTAGCGTTCTCCTTTTGCCATTTGGCATTTGGAAATTACCCTAAATTGAACGATCCTTAGTTGTTTGCTGCAGACATAATCCTTTCTTGGGAAATTAGTTATTGGAAGGGAATCTTGTTCCTTAGACAAAAGAACTTATACCCTCATTTGTATGATCTCTGCAGAGGGGAACAGTATTGAGGGGAAGTTTTTGAGGTAGAATCAAATGGAATGAAAAATATATATAAAAATAATTATTACTATTGAGTAATTATAATTATAATACTATATCGGATCCTAATTATAAGAGTTAGTTGACTAATTTGAGGAGATTAAGGAAATAAGTTAAATTAGTTATTTGTAATAAATAGGTGTTGTCTTTTCTAGAATATCCTTGCTAATCAAATATATTGGTTAGAACTACTATTACTAGAAGGACTATATTAAAAAAACATACATAAATATAAGAGACAAAATGGATTGGGGTTTTATATTTAGGACCAAAATAAAAGTCAAACGAGATTTTATATTAAGGACTGGAGGTAGTAATATAATAACAAATACTAAATTATCACCAAACTATATTTCCTTTTTTAGGTGAAAACATATATTTCTTCTTAATTTTATACCAAACGTTCTTTAAGAGTAACTAAATCAATTTATATGAATAATAACTAAAATTTTCATCAATTAATTTGAAAGATAAGAAATATGAGATATAATATATAGTAAATTAACTTTTAACATTTTTCTTAAATTTTTATGGATTTTAATTTTTAAGTGCATGTATTAATGTAAATAAAGATGAATCGATGGGCATGGGGAGCTTGCATGCGACCCCACTTTATGATCCTAATAATTTCTTCCTCTTTTCTCCTCCTGAAAAGTTACACTCTTCCCTTTTGTTAGTATCAATCCTGTTATAAATTAGTTCGAATAAATTCTCAAGAAATGATAGTCAAGTAATTAAATATGTTTTACATTGATAAAATTATTTAAATTTGTCTTTGTTAAAAATATGTATTAAAAAAAAGGTATACATATAAACTATTTTGTGTTTTTTTTTTCCAATCATAATTATCAAACGGCCCGTGCATCCTCGTAAATAGACGTGATTACTTGTTTAAACTAACTAAATAAATTTAAATCTAACTGATAATTATCAGACGGGATGAAATATTGTACATCTGCCTTATTTGTCAAATTTGAATGTTCTCTACTAAAAAAAAAATTCTACGAAATAAAATAAATGAAACCAATTACTCCTCCAGTCCTATAATTCTTGAGTTGGTTTTGGTCCTCAATATAAGACCCATTTATCATATTTATCAATTTTCTCTAAATTATCCCTATAGATACTCTCTCAACCATAATAAAGTAAAAGAGGGAGATGAGGTATTAAGAAAGATGATTGTGGTGTTTTAGGAAAAATGTGTCATATTTCTTATAATTAACTAACTTATCTAACTTCCTTAATCTAATCAAATTAGTTAAATGGGTCTTATATTAAGGATCGGAGGAGTAATACATAACTACTGTGGATTTTGTGCATTGTACGGAATTTAAAAAAAAAAAGAGTTACAGTATTTGTCAAATAGTCCATCTTCATCATCTTTGAAGAAAAATGGATTCTTTCCAAGTTAATCAATAATATTTGACACCAAGAAGATCTACTTGCTAGTTTTAAAAAAAATTTCCTTTGTCGGCGAAAAAATTAAAATTTTTCCTTAAATATGCACCATATGCAGAATAAATATTCTTATAATTATGAAAGCAGATTTGTTATTATAATTGTTCCATGTGGCGTCATTAACTCCTTATTCTCTTATGCCATTTTTTCATTTGGGACAAATCACAAAAGTGAAGAGTTTGACATTGGGTGGCCTTTCAAGTTATGCCAATTTAATGGCTTCAAAAATGTTATGTCAAATTCGAAAAACTAACTAATAACAAAGATTATGACAAATTGCAGTGACGCCCCTCACCAACTGAAGTCTGTACAGGAATGAACATGAATTGCTCCCCTAAATCATTTACTTATTTTCACATTCCTAGCTAATTAAGTAGTTCATGAACCATATTGGATCCTTCTTTTCCTCTCCCTACTGTCCCTTTCGGAATTTCAGTTTTTATGGTAGCCAATTAGTTACGCCTCAATCTAATAAGCATTGATCTGTTCATTTGTTCAGAAATTAATCCGGACATTATAAATTTAAAATTCTTATTTTTATTTTCTAAATAGTGACGGATAAAAATTTATTTTTATTTTAAATCCTGCTGCTCTTAAAATACAAAAAAAAACTAAAATTTAAAATATAATATTCTAATAAAATTGAAACCGTTTAACTATGCAGACATGAGACGAGCATGCGTTCAACTATAAATACCGACACTCTACACACATTCTCCCACGTTGAGAGCTCTCTCTAAACGCACTTTCCCAACAACACTTAACTTTAATGGCATCAGAAATGGCGAAGAGGTCACCTTCCCTTGAAAACTTTTGCAGGCCTCAATCTGCTATAAGGCTTCTGGCTTTCATGGTGTTTCTGGGTTCCATCTTCATCTGGATAGTGAAACCCACCAACACTTTCTATTTAAACTGGCGCCCCGAGCTCGAATCACAGACTCGTTCCGCATATTTTGGCTCCCAAGGTTTCATTATTCTTCAACATCAACATTTTCGACTCTCTACAATATTTTTTGACATGTATAGTTATATACTGACGCTTTTGAGTATTTCTCGCAGGTGCCTATCTTTTAATTTTTTGTTTTCCTGTATTATTCATAGCCGTTTTGGGCTGTGTGTATGTCCACATAGCCAAAAAAGCCAATAGCATCAACCCGGAAAGGTACATTATGCAATTCTCTTTCTCTCTTTGTTCATCTTCTGCTACAGAAACAACCCATCTCTGATGTAAGTTTTGGCTATATCTCAGTGAAAGTAATGACGCAAAATATAAGAACCCTATATGGAAGCGTCCGGTGCTGGTCAAGGGACCTCTTGGAATTGTGTCCGCCATAGAACTAGTCTTCTTCGTTATGTTCGTCGCACTCCTTGTCTGGTCTCTTTCTTCTTATCTGAAATCTGGCTTCTCCCGAATCAACAAGCAATCAGCAGCAAAATCCGGCCACCAAGTGTACGGCCGTTTTCTTTTCTCCCGCTTGCACAATAAATATTATCACTAAATTGCATTCAAGTGCTTTTAAATTTTGACAGATGGCAGGAGAAATTGGAAAGTGCAGCACTGAGGATTGGACTTGTCGGGAACATATGCCTGGCTTTCCTATTTTTTCCGGTGGCGCGTGGCTCCTCCGTGCTGCCACTGCTTGGACTCACGTCTGAGAGTTGCATCAAATACCACATATGGATTGGCCACATCGTTATGACTCTCTTCACTCTTCATGGTGCCTTTTATGTCATTTACTGGGCATCCACCCATCAAATCTCTGAGGTTTATTATATACGACAACTTCCTACTTCAAATTATCAACTTTTGATTTAGATCCGTGAATTAATATTTGGGGTTCGGTTTATCCGGTGGTGACGTGCAGATGCTGAAGTGGGATAAGATTGGGATATCCAATTTTGCAGGAGAGATATCTCTGCTTGGTGGCTTGCTGCTGTGGGGTGTGACTGTGCCTCGTATAAGGAGAAAAGCTTTCGAGGTGTTCTTCTACACTCACTATCTCTACATCGTCTTCGTCGTCTTCTTCGTCTTCCATGTCGGCATGGTTTATACAAGTATTGTTCTACCTGGTCTCTACCTCTTCTTGCTTGATCGTTACCTCAGATTTCTGCAATCACGACGCCATGCTTGCTTGCTCTCTGCTCGCGTCTTGCCTTGTGACTCTCTGGAACTCAACTTCTCCAAAACCCCTGGTAATGAAATGATGCCTATTGCCACCCATTTCATCACAATTTTGAAAAATTTGATCTTTCCATTTTAAGTCGTTCTTCTGTTGTTGCGTTCCGTCATTGGATACAAATTCTGAAACATTCTTTATATAGTTAAAGTCATAAAGATACACCACAGCGACAGGCAATCAATCAAAATGAATACTAAAAACTTCCAATTATGTGAATGGAAAAGCCATAAACTACAATAAATCCGAATTTCAACCAGCACCACGAAATAATTCAACCAGCACCACGAAATAATTAATGTATATGAAGGATATTTATGTCATTTTAACTATGATATCACATTTGTAATTAATTTATATGAAGGGTATTTATGCTATTTTAAATTTTTTTAAATATAAAACTTCAATTCATTTTATTTTTCAAATTTATAGTTTATAATTATAATTTTTTTTCAAAGATCTCACGTGCCCACATATATATTAAAAGGGGCTTCCAACTTTCTATTTACAGGAGTAGAGTTTTCATCAATACAAATTATTAAAAGGGGTATTTTAAAAAAATAATATTTTTTTAATAAATAACTAACTCAACTAATTTTTTTAATTTTTATGAATTAGTATATCAGGACTTTTGTCTTCATCAATCAATGTCATGGCTTATCTATAAGCAAAGACGCTTCTTTCTTTCATTCTCTGTATGGAAAGAGAGAAAAATGATATTTAAATCTTGAGTTTATAACAGAAAATAATCCTTTTGTGTTTTTTTAAATTTAGATCTGAAGGGCGTAATCTATAGATCAGGAGCCAAATCACTGTTCGTCACATATGGTTTTCTATTGCAGGGTTGGCTTATAGTCCAACAAGTATTATGTTTATAAACATACCAAGTTACCAACCATATCTCACCTGCAATGGCATCCTTTTACTATTACTTCCAATAGTAACTTGGAACCAGACAACCTTAGTGTTGTGATCAAAAGCGAAGGAAGTTGGTCACAGAAGCTATATCGAATGCTGTCGTCTTCTCCAACAGATCGCCTTCATGTCTCCGTCGAAGGCCCTTATGGACCTGCGTCAACTAATTATCTCAGGTTCGTCAAATCATTTTAAAAGAAATTTAGATAAACACACTATATTGATTCATAGTTCACTTACTCCCAAATTTATTGTTTTAAAGCAGATATGAAACCCTTGTGATGGTGAGTGGCGGCAGTGGGATCACCCCTTTCATCTCTATCATTCGCGAACTAATATATCAGAGCACAACATCCAAATGCAAAACCCCAAAAGTTAAACTCATTTGTTCCTTCAAGAACTCTACATCTCTCTCAATGCTCGACCTTATCCTTCCATTACCTGGCACCCCCTCTGAACTTTCCAACCTGCAGATCCAAATAGAAGCTTTCATCACAAGAGACACAGGGCCCAAACCAGATAATAACCTTAATCGGCATCTTCGAGCCATATGGTTCAAACCTCATTCAACTGATGCACCCATATCAGCAGTACTGGGTCCGAGCCACTGGCTCTGGCTTGCTGCTATAATCTCATCCTCTTTCATTCTGTACCTTATCATTATTGGCATCATAAACCGTTGCTACATTTACCCTATTGAGCATAACTCGGACGGGATATTCTCGTACCCTTTGAAGTCATTCTTGAACATGCTGGTGATATGTGCTGCAATAGGTGTAACTTGTAGTGCAACTTTTCTTTGGAATAAGAAGCAGAATGCCAAAGAAGCAACGAAGATCCAGAACATGGAAGGGCCATCACCAACTGTGTCGCCAGCGTCAATGACGACTTTCAATGCAGATAGAGAAATGGAAAGCCTTCCATATCAGTCTCTTGTTCAAGCTACTAATGTGCACTATGGTGAAAGACCTGACCTCAAAAGTAATTAGTTGTTCATATCTTCTGCTGGGTACCTGAGTACGTATTGGATGGAATCACTGAATTTGAAATCTCACAGAAGCAATTTGTTGATGCAGGAATGATTCTCGAACACAGAGATGAGTCAAGCGTGGGAGTTCTTGTATCAGGTCCAAGGAGGATGAGGCAAGAGGTGGCAGCCATCTGCTCTCGAGGTTTAGCTGAGAATCTACACTTCGAGTCAATTAGCTTTAGCTGGTGATTCTACCCTTTACTGTAATATGTTGCCGTTGTTTTAAAAGACCCTAAGATCTTAGCCAGAATAAAAGAACTCATTTATAAGCCATATATAGTCCTATGCCAGTGCTAGACGTGCTTGTTGATTCTCTTAATATGTAACTTGTAACATGTAGTCTTTTTGCCGCGTGGCGAGGCGTTATCTTTATTCTTGAACTTTCTTCGTCTTTTGCTCAGTCAACTCATTTTAAATCTTCCAAAATTTGTAGTCTTTAACCTATTCATTCTATTGTAACCATATTTTCGTTGTATTCAATTAGAGGGAGAGAATTGTCACGAACAGAGTAGTTTTGTTGATATACGTCTCCGTAGCTTTCCTAAATAGCTGCACCGGACCCATATAGGTATTTGAATGTGAATTTGAATTACTATGAAGCATACGTATGTATATTTAAGAAGCACTGTCTCATAGTGATTTTATTAGAAAATAACACAAGTTTTAATGTCTTCTAACATCATAATTTATTTCATACACAAATATTTTTAAATGTAATTTTGTCTATATTCAACGTATCGGAAAGGATTGCACGAGCGCGATCATACACTCGGATGGCCCATTATTGCATGCGAGCGCAGATGTTGGATCATACAATGTTTTGCTAATAAAATTTTTCACTGCCTTCTGATGAAAAAAATGATTATGTGGGCATGCAAAAAAAAAAGAAAAAATGATTACACTTTCGAGCCTCAGCTCGTACCGAAAAAATTATTATTTCCATTTTATAATTCTTAATCTGATTTATTCCAATCAAGTCAGCTTAAATTTCGATATATACAGTTAATTGTATACCGTTTACATTTGATTTATACAGTTTAAAATTATTTAGACCTGTCCTTCAATTGACATCTTTTGTTTCAAAAGAACATAATACGTAATGACAACGATCCGTTAACGGAAAAGTTAGAACACAAATAGCATGAACAAAAATTATAAAACTTAAAATCTGACCTCTTTGATCAAATTTCTATTGTCAAAATTTAAGTACTTTATTTAATTGAGATAGCCGACGAGATCCAAATTATATATACATTTTTTTGACCAAAAAGAGAGTCCATTTTCTTAATAACCAAACTATAGAAATACACACACTAATAGCCGAAGCCCAAAAAGGAAAAGAACACTCAAAACAACCTAAACATACAACCTAAAAACACACACCTCACCAAAACAGAAAATATAGCCACCAATCAAAACAATAAAAGAACAAGCTAAAACTACCAGCTAGTCAACCAACACCGCTTCTAGAATATAATAATACAACAGCAGCAAGTCTAAACACTAGAATATCCTGACATTTCTATAGTCAAGGAAACTCTTTTTTTTCCCCCCCCGGTACTCACATAATAATACAACAGCAACGATCGAACAAGTTATTTATAAAGTTCTCACATTTGACCAACAAATACTCAATTAGACTTGTTCATATATCCCAAAGCAGCAAGTCTCTTATGCCCACTCATTAGGGTAGCGAAATGAACCACCACAAAGCTACCCCTTTTTGAATATTTTATGACAATACATTTGCTTACAACATCAACAACATAAATTGTAGGATTACCAGCTAAAGCTAATGGACTCAAAATGCATGTTCTTTGCTAAACCAGAAGAGCAAATGGCTGCAACCTCTTGCCTCATCTTCCTTGGACCTGCTACAAGAATCCCCACGCTTGACTCATCTTTCAGTTCAAGAATCATTCCTGCATTAATCAACAAAACAGTTCAATTTTTTTTTTCAAACTCATCATCAATAATGTTTGAATTCTCGTCAAACAGATGGGCGTAAATGCAAGTGCATGTCATGCTAAATAAAATAAAATAAAATTTGAAAAGAAAAAAAAACTTACTTTTTAGGTCAGGTCTTTCACCATAGTGTATATTAGTAGCTTGAACGAAGGTCTGATAAGGAAGGCTTTCCAATTCTCTATCTGCATTGAAAGTCATCGAAGCTGGTGACACAGTTGGTGTCGAACCTTCTATATTCTGGATCTTCTTTGCTTCTTTCGCATTCTGCTTCTTGTTCCAAAGAAATGCTGCACTAGCAGTCACGCCTATAGCCAAACATATCACCAACATGTTCAAGAATGACTTCAAAGAGTGTGAGAATTTTTTGTCCGTATTATGATCAATAGGATAGATGTAATAACGGTTTATGAACCCAATGATGATAAGGTACAGAATGAAAGAGGACGAGATCACAGCACCGAGCCAGAGCCAATGGTTCGGACCCAATGCAGCAGATATGGGCGCATCAGTTGGGTGTGGCTTGAACCATATGGTTCGGAGGAAGTGATTAGGGTTATGTGGTTTGGGCTCTTTCTCTCTCGTGACAAAAGCCTCTATTTTCAGCTGAATGTTGGAAATTTCAGAGGAAGTACCAGATAAGGGAAGGATGAGGTCTAGCATTGAGAGAGATGAAGAGTTCTTGAAGGAACAAATGAGTTTAACTTTCGGGGTTTTGCATCTGAATGTTGTGCTCTGATATATAATCTCGCGGATGATAGAAATGAAAGGGGTGATCCCACTGCCTCCACTCACCATCACAAGGGTGTCATATCTGCTTTACAACAATATATATTCGGGAGTAAGTGAAATATAAATTAATAGTGTGTTTATATAAATTTCTTTTAAACGAATTCACGAATTGAACCTCAGATAATTGGTTGACGCAGGTCCATAAGGGCCTTCGACGGAAACGTCGAGACGATCTATTGAAGAAGACGACAGCCTTTGATATAGCTTCTGTGACCAGCTTCCTTCGCTTTTGATCACAACGCTGAGCTTCTCTGGCTCCAACTTACCATTCGAAGTAACCGTAAATGGATGCCACTGCAGGTGAGATATGCTTGGCACATTTATGAATATAACACTTGTGGGATTATAAGACAACCCTGCAAAGAACCAAAATAATAAAAATCATGTCGATGATTAACACAGCCTGAACGTGTCAAAAGTATTAAACACCTTACAATGGCATGCTTGAAATCAAGAGACGCCCTTAATATTTTTTCCTTGCATGTCTGTTTTAGAGCAAGAAGTATGAGTAGTAATGAATAGTTACCATGGCTCTTGGAGAAGTTGAGTTCTAGATAGTCACAAGGCAAGAGACGAGCAGAAAGCAAGCGAACATGACGTCGTGATTGGAGAAGCCTGAGGAAACGATCGAGCAAGAAGAGGTAGAAACTAGGTAGAACAATAATAGTATTATCGATGCCCACGTGGAAGACGAAGAATACGAAGAAGACGATGTAGAGATAGTGAGTGTAGAAGAACACCTCGAAAGCTTTTCTTCTAATACGAGGCACAGTCACAACCCACAGCAACAAGCCACCCAGCAGAGATATCTCTCCTGCCAAATTGGACACCCCAATTTCATCCCATTTCAGCATCTGCACATCACCATATAACCAAATTAAACCCGAATATTAATTCACGGATCTAAATGAAAAATTGATAGTTTGAAGTGGGGAAGTTGTCGTATATAATAAACCTCAGAGATTTGATGGGTGGATGCCCAGTAAATGACATAAAAGGCACCATGAAGAGTGAAGAGAGTCATAACGATGTGGCCAATCCATATGTGATATTTGATGCAACTCTCAGAGGTGAGGTCAAGCAGTGGCAGCACGGAGGAGCCACGCGCCACCGGAAAAAATAGGAAAGCCAGGCATATGTTCCCGACAAGTCCAATCATCAGTGCCGCAGTTTTCAATTTCTCCTGCCATCTGCCAAAGTTTAAAGGACTTGATGAGTGTAACTACTGATAGTATTCATTGTGCAAGCAGGACTAAACAAAAAGGCCGTACACTTTCTCGCCGGCTTTTGCTGCTGATTGCTTGTTGATTTGGGAGAAACCAGATTTCAGATAAGAAGAAAGAGACCAGACGAGCAGAGCGACGAACATAAGAAAGAAGATTAGTTCTATGGCTGACACAATTCCTAGAGGGCCCTTCACCAGCACTGGACGCTTCCATATAGGGTTCTTGTATTTTATGCTATTACTGTCACCGCCGAGATTGAGCCAAAACTTATGTTATTTTTGTAGTACAGGATAAACAAAGGGAGAAAGAGAATTACATATATAAGGTACCTTTCCGGGTTGATGCTGTTGGTTTTTTTGGATATGTGGACATGCACACAGCCCAAAACGGCTATGAATAATACAGGAAAACAAAAAATTAAAAGATTTTCACCTGCGAAAAATACTCAAAAACTTCAGTGTATAGCTATACATGTCAAGGAGTATTGCAGAAAGTGTAAAACGTTGATGTTGAATAATAATGAAACCTAGTGAGCCAAAATAGGTGGAACGAGTCTGTGATTCGATGGCGGCGCTCCATTTTAAATAGAAAGTGTTGGTGGGTTTCATTATCCAAATGAAGATGGAACCCAGAAACACCACGAAAGCCAGAAGCCTTATAGCAGATTGAAGTCTGCGGAATTTTTCAAGGGAAGATGATCTCCTCACCATTTCTGGTGCCATCATTCTTTCCTTTCTTTGCTTCAAAAACAAGGCAAGTGTTTGGAAGTGATTTCAATGTGGCAGAATGTGAGGGGGGGTTTTGGTATTTATAGTTGAGAATAGAGAATTGAAATTATAGAATATGACGATTAATCCACAATATAGTCATGTACAAAATTGAAATTGTGAAAGGGATACTGAGAAGGAAAAGAAGCATGGCTCACGTACTGTTTGGAATGTGAAAAATCAGTAAATAATTCACCAAAGATTTGGTGGCACAATTCATGTAGGACCCCCATTTCATAAGGCAACTCGTTGCGCAATTTGACATATTTGTTGTTTTGTTTTTTTTTAAGGGGTGACCGAAGAAATACAGTTCACGATGATTGATGACTACGTTTCTGAGTTCTCTATTTTCCTCTGGAATATTTTCCCCGACGTTGGTCTGGTTCCATAATGACTCGTCATCGGCCAAACGGAGATAACACGTTTCATACATTCCGATGGCCGTAGTTTTGGGGGCGAACCATTGACCCACCCATACACACAGTGATCAGGCACATTGTGAGAGAATTACCGGCCAGCAGGGACAATGACTCGAGGGATATTCACAGAAGCACTAGGAGCTTTCAATTCCTGGGGAACTCCGTGAACGAGTGTAAAACGGAGAAGGGATAAATTTGATGCTTGGTGTGAAATGGAGCTCGGACGGGATCTTTGATTGTCCTCGCCTTCGGTCCTTCCCCTCCCTCTTTTGTCCCCTCAACGACTCAGCCTCCGTGGCACAAATTTTCATAAAATTTTCTTTTCATCAAATAAATTGCTTCCTCTCAGTTGAGATGTTTATTTTGATGTGTATAATTTTAATCCAATTCACTTACTAAACTAAATTTATAATTTTTCTAAATTATTCTTGTGAATCATATATATTAAAGGAGATTTCATTTATAGAAATAATGACTAAAGCTGTAATTTATAAAACCATCACATTTATAATAAAAAATTAATTAATTTAATTTTTTGTAATATATATAAATTAGTTGCGTGACTTTTATATTTAAAACCAATTAGAGTACTTATTTATAGGAGACAAATTATTACTAATATGAAAATTAGTTCGCACCCCGGGTAGTAGCCACACGCCTATTGAGGCTTTCACAATGGTTTGATATGATGTTGAAAACTACAGCCATTTCTCCCTTGCAAGAGGAAAATCATTTTGTTTCTTTTTTTCAGCCATCAATGGACTTCATCCCAGTTACAATACTCTTTTTATACATTTTCTCTAAATTAAGCGTAAATTTTTTCCGCATAGCCAGTGTTTTTAACTAATTAATCAAAATCGAACTCCTCTAACTAATAATTTTTATTGAGGATAATTTTGATATTATACAAAAAAGATAACTACATCTAACTAATTAACTACGTCAATTTATGTTAAATTAATTAATCATGGATTGGAGAGAATAGTGTATATATACAACATGAAAAGCCTGACCTCATCTCTGTAGCTCGGATTATTGATACGCATTTAAGGCGTTCAAGTAAAATCGTCGAGAGTTTGCTATATATATATATATTATGCCATATTCCATATAAAGATGCAGAATTATATAAGGAATATTATTACAACTAACCGACAATAATGCACTTTAATTACCTTTTAATGAGTAATTAGATAATACCCACCACGACATAGAATAATTAGCTCACAGTGTTACATGGAATTTTTGCTCCTCGGAGGAGGTTGATGAAACATGAGGGGTCCAGACTGCGGTCTTGTTCTTTTTGTATTTCGTGTTCATCGAATGATAGCTTCCTTCTTTAATCAAGAGGTGGGGAAAAAAGATCTCACATTCCACTTTGTCTTTTACAATTTGGACGTTACCCCTAGCCTTTTAGACATGATCTTTTTTATTGAAAGCAAATCCTATCCTTAAACAAAACAAATTACACCGTCATAATTGTGATCTCCATAAATATTGAGGGAAAGTTTGTTAGTTAGAATATATTAATCACATTCGAGAAAGAATGTTTTTGTTCCAAGCGTTCTTTTGATATAACTCGTAATTTATATCATCAGTAATAATTACAACTTTCAGAAATTTTCTTTTTAAGTGGCGTTAAGAAATATGGAAGTAATAATTTCAATATAATAACTTGTTTTAATATATATACTACCTTCGATCGTAATTATAAGAATTAGTTGATTAATTTGAAGAGATTAAGAAAAGAAGTTAGTTATTTGTAATAAATATATGTTGTTTTTCCTAAAATATCCTTACTAATTAAGTTTATTGGCTATAACTATCATTGTTATGAGGACTATCTTGAAAAAAAAAGTATAAATATGATAGACAAAATGGATTGGGGTATTATATTTAAGACTAAAATAAAAGTCAAATAAGGTCTTATATTAAGAACCGGAGATAGTATATTAACCTAAATTTATGGGTAGTTGACTCTGATTTTTCTTTTTACTTCCCCTCTACACGCTTCGAGCACAGGTGCGCATAATGCAGACACAAGCAACCTTCTAGGAGACACGAGGATTTTGCATTCTCCCACACTTTGTATATAAAGAAACTAATTTGGATAATGTTAATCAGATCGGGACGATGGCAAAAACGGAAAAAATAATTAGATTGGATTGTTGATTGCTTCCCCCCCCCCCCCAAAAAAAAAAAAGACTGCGATTCTTCGGTGTTGTCAAGGAATATGTTCATAACCAAATTATCGAATTAATTAGTGATATTGAAATGAATTATATCCCGTTCCAATGAAATTACAGTTTTCTTCAACAATTAAATCTAAATAATTTATTTTATACAGAGTAAACTATATTATCTCATTCAGTTCTCATTTAAATCAGATAATTCTCAATCCTATCTTTATTTAATTTACATAATCTGTTCTCGTGGCATTGTATTGGTCAAAAAAATAAATACAAACTAAAATAATCGAAATTAAAGCATGAAACTGTGGAGCATACTTCATATATAATTAATCCTCATTCTTTCATGCCTTTTTCGTTGGGACAGGTTGCAAACCGCTATGTTTGACTTTCCACTTATGTCAAATTTTAATGGCTTAAAAAATTCCCGATATTTATTCCAAACAATTAATCTGCTAACGATTAAGTTCTAAATGACTGCGAATTACTATGTTAAATTATCTATGAAAATATATTAGTTGTACGTAAATCAGACGTTTAAGTTTTCTAGAGAACTCCCAATAATTTGCAAGTAATTAAGATTTTAATGTTTACTATTAATGAAATTTTTTAGGATATAATTGCAATTACGAAAGTACTATCGTCAAAGTCATTCTTGTTAAAGAATGAAATATGTCAAATTGCAATGAGTTGACTCATGAAATGGGAGTCCTACATGAATTGAGCCGCCACGCCATATCTTGGATGAATTATTTACTGATTTTAACATTCCAAACAGTTCATGAGCCATGCTTCTTTTCCTTCTTAGTGTCCCTTTCACAGTTTCAATTTTGTACATCATGATTGTGGATTAATCATACCATTCTCCCACATCAAAAACTCTTCCCTATACACTTCCAAACACTTACCTCGTTAATCAAACAAAGAGAAAGCAATTAATTGAGAGAGAGAACGGTGGTGGCACCAGAAATGGTGAAGAGATCACATTATTCACTTGAAAAGTTTTGCAGATTTCAATGTGCGATAAGGCTTCTGGCTTTCTTAGTGTTTCTGGGTTGGATCGAGAATTGGATAATGAAGCCAACGGACACATTGGAGCTAAAATAGATTCCTAAGCTCTAGTCAGGGACTTATTTTACCTATTTGGGCTGACAAAGTCTCATGATTCATTCAATATCAACGTACGTTTTAGATTTTCTCAATTGATCTTTTGATATGCTGTTATGAACTAATATTTTTGAACATTTTCTCGCAGGTGTATATCTTTTAATTTTTTGTTTTCCGGTGTAAGTCATAGGGGTTTTGGGCAGTGTGTGTCCATGTACATATAGCCAGAAAATGAACAAATGACAGCATTGACATGCAAAGGTACCAATTGATTGACTATGAAGCTTCTCTCTTGTGCTTCTTCTTCGTCTCTCATTATTTCTTCTTCATCTTATACTGTAAGACAAAACCCAGCTCTGATTATATAATAGTGGTAGGGACCAGGCATTGAAAAATAGCAGAACAAGAAAATAGAGTACGAAAGGGAAAATTCTATAGAAAGAACTGCAAGCATCTCACAATACTCTCTAAAAGACCAAAGGAGTATCTCCAATATGAGTGAACTCTCTGAAAAGGTCGTCTCTTATTCCTGAGGCTAAAGAGCCTTTTTATAATGAATTACAGAGAGAGAATATACTAATAATTCAAGGATAACAATCAGCAACTAAATCTGGAACTAATTCTAACGTTAAAGTGGGGTATCCCACTTATTTCGCAACTGAAACTTAAATCAGAAAATAATAATAAAAATATTGAGAAACAACTATTCCATATCTGATTTTTCTCTACCACGTTTCCCCTTTCTTGAATAAGTCAACTTAAATCTGTTAGGTAGCGCATCATTAACCCCCCCCTTGGAAAAACGACTTGTCCTCAAGGCGAAAATGGGGGAACTGGGCAGCAATTGAGTCATATTCCTTCCATGTGGAATCTTCTTCAGAACGGTTTTCCCACTGAATAAGTAGTTCCAGTGTTCTATAATTGGTCCACCGGTGATTGAGCACTCTCAAAGGAGTTAGCAGTAACTCCATATCGGCAGATAAGGGTAATGGAGCTGGACTGCTAGGAGGGTTTGATCGTAAGCGGGACAGAGTAATGAGACATGGAAAATTGGGTGGATTTTGGCATCTGAAGGGAGTTCTAATCCATAGGACACTTGTCCCACACGTCGTAATACCTTATAGGGTCCAAAAAACTAGAAAAAAAAATCAGACCAGACCGACCAGTTGAATCGGTGAACCGGCGAACTGGCCTGCTATTCGGTCTCGGTTAAGTCAAGAACCAGCCTGCAATTGAACCA